AAACAGCAGTTAAATTACAGAGACCATCACAATCTGAAACCATGCTTCTTTTTGGCTTACCTAGTTTGTAGATTTGCATGTTTGAACCCAGACTAATGGTTACGGTTAAGTAAGCTAACTTATAAAATAGCATATAAAATCATTATGAAAATAGAGCGGCTAGGTTCATACCAATATATTAAATCTTAATGTGGAGGGCCGGCTTTGAATGCTGTATGAACCTATCCACTTTGATTTATTTAATAAATCATGGTCAGTCTTGATTTAGGCATCCACATACCATAAAAGAATCAAAAGTGGTTTAGAAATAACATATTAAAAGGTTTAATTGGAACAAGAAGCGAGTATCTTCGGTGGGAGTATCTTCTAGGAATGGAAGGGGTGTAACATACCACTCTGAATCTAGTGAACATCTGTTTCAGACAGTCCCTATAGCGCACATTATTTTAATTCTTAGAGTTTTTAAAAAATCTATTATACCTAGAATGCTATATTTTCACACAGGCATGTATCACTTTCGTAGTATTTCACTTGCAAATTTTGTAAAGATTATTTAGGAGTTGCTGTGGCTTTAAAAACTTTCCCTTACAACAGGAACCACTTCTCTTTATCTCAGTTCCACTGTACTGTTGCTATAGTAATTTGTGTTGGTCTTGTGCTTCAGTGATACAAGAACCAGTTGGAAAAAATGCAGAAGTGACATAACTACAAACTTACTCACCTATTAAAAACCAGCCTGGAATCCTTCTATTCTCTGTTACCCTTGAGATAGTTACAGTTAAAGGAAACAATAATCAAATAGTTTTTTTTTTCAATAGATGAATTTAAAAATCCATATTAAAATTCTAAATCATGCCCATAGTAAACTGTGATGAGACCTTGCAGTCAAAAAAAACTATTTTCCATTCATCTCCAATTGCTTGATTTATACCTTTACAAACAAAAATGTCATCTGACCAAGAGGCAAAAACGTATTCTTATTTTTCTTATTCTTAAAAATTCTTATTTTTCAGGTAGCTGTTAACTTACAATTGCAATTGGGACCAGAAATCCAGTTGTAAATCATTACAGTTGTAACTCAAGGTGTCCCGTGAAATGATTATATGACCCATTTTGCAATAGATGTTAAGTGAATGTGACAGTTAAGTGAAGGCAGCATTTATAAGTATGTTCAAATGGGAGGTTTTTGTTAGAAAAATGCTGGAAACTGGCAAAAAAAAAACCCCACCCATTGTGAATCACAGTCACATGACTTCAAAATGCCATAACTGGTCATAAAGGTGACCTGTTCCCAGCATGCAGTCATGTGACCATGGGGAAAGCAAGCTGCACAACGGCCAGGGGATGTTTTTACAGCTGTATTTTTTATAAGTGCTAATTGCCCCAAAGTTGGGAGGGACTTGGGGTTTCCTCAATCAGGGCCTGATCATGGGCCAGCAGGTTAGGCAAAATTATTTAAATTAGTCAACTGAATGTACCAAACAATTAATGTTAACCTTAAGATAACATTAACAAGCAAATGAAATACACACACACACACACACACACACACACACACACACACACACATATCCATATCCTGTGGCGATTTGCCTTGTCTAAAGTTTAAATTTAAAATAAATTTAAATAAATTTGAAATGTAAAGCAAAAGAGATATACATCACATGATCAGCTTTAGTCCCACAGTCTTAACCTACTTCACAGGGTTGCTATGGTGATTAAAAGGTGGGGGCGGATCATCCATACCCTGAGGTAGAATGGTTGTGTTTGCATGACTCACTAAAGCCCTCAGGAAGGCTCATTGGGCTTGGAGTTCATACCACTAAGAGAGAGGCCAGGCTTGCCCTGCCTAACTTCTATCCTCCAACCCATAACCCCAACATTCAGGGGAGAAATTGTCCAAATGACAGTGGATGGAGTGACTGAAACAACTCCTTTCTTGTGGAACAACTCATCTCTATGACAAAGGTCAGAAGAGAGGGCTAATCTAACATTTTCTTCTACTCCAACAATGTGTGAATCCCAAAGGAATTAACAACCCTGTACATAATGCCTGCATTTTGGGGTTCAAACAACATGCTGGGGATACAGTTGACTCAGTAAAGTGGGTGATGCAATCAGGTTTAATTGTCTGGGCCCCAAACTAGCCAACCGTGTTGTCCAAATACAGCCCACAAAGTTTGACTGCAACTCATTGTATGGTGTGAACTGAAAAAGTTGGGTCAATTGAATAGACAGTAGTTAAATTAATCATAATTAAGTATTTTATGCCAATGCAGCCACTAAGACAATTACTTTGGGCAGCTAATCATTGAATTAATGACAGGGCAGCAAATGGTAATTATTGATAGGGAAGGATAGTGGTATTTGTGGAATTTTCTGATTTAGTTGGCAAATAATTTTCAAGCTTCAGATACTACACCTCAAATTACACAGTAACTGAACCATTTTTTTTCCTTCTGCTTCCATCTGCCAAAAAAAAAAAAAATAAGGGGGGAGAAATGGGATATACATGGAAACAACAATACAGAGAAATATGTAGCCAATAGGAGATATTTCCAAGTAGCAAAACTGGGTTGATGATTATGAATATTAATTTTTTAAACAGGGCTACAATTCTAATCTCATGGCATTTTCCTTCCTGCTGACGTCTTTCAATTTATTTGTTTTTCTCATTTCTGAACTACCCAGTTTTGTTGGACTCAATGCTAGTAGATCATAGTTGTTTTCTTCTTATAAGCAGAATTTCTATGGATTTTCACTCAGCTAGGAGTTACTGCACTTTTGCAATACAACACCTATTTCTGCCTTACAACAATCCTTATGCTAGTTTTCTGAGTTTTTCAGAAGTGTATTTTGAAATGGGTACCAATTTATTGGCCAGTTGAATCCACCACTGCTGAAACACATTTAATCTTTTGCATCTGTTACTGGTTTTATTACTTTTAAAAATTAATTATTTAGATTGTATTAAAATATTGTGGGTATATTTAAAAAAAATAATGAATTTAAAAATAGTTAAAATGGGAATAACTCTCAGAAGGAACTTTTGGCAGTACACATAAACATACACAAACATATGTCACCGACCAGTTCGCTCCCATAGAGAGGGACTCCTCAGGGTGCCGTCGGCCAAACAATGTCGACTGACGGCCCCCAGGGGGAGAGCCTTTTCTGTGGGGGCACCTACCATCTGGAACGGGCTTCCCCCAGAGTTACGAAACATCCAAGACTTACGCATTTTCCGCCGTGCCCTGAAAACGTTTCTATTCCAACAAGCTGGTCTGGCCTAACTCTCCCTTTTTAAATTGGCTTTTAAATTGGCTTTTAAATCGGGTTTTAGACCTCTTTTAGATAAATCTGGATGTTTTAATCTTTGAGCCAAATTACTTAATCTGTTTTTTAATAGTTTTTAACTTCTATATGTATTTGTATTTATTATGGCTGTTCGCCGCCCTGAGTCCTTCGGGAGTAGGGCGGTATACAAATATAAATAAATAAATAAATAAATAAATAAAATATGTATGTATAATTATAAGGAATACTGCATTTCACATATACATAAAGAAAAAAATCCTAGTAACATGATTTAAAATGGTCATAAAATGATACTGCTATATTTAATTGAAAGTTTTATGCTGATGGTTTTTTAATACTTTTACTCCTTATAGCAAACCCATAATGATAAGCATAATGCTAAGATACATTGGGATGGGGCTGGTATTCTGGGCTTCCGGAAAATCATGCCTTTTCTGTTGAGTGAATCAGATAAAAATAGAACTGTGGAAATATAGTGGATTACAAATAAATACCATCATAAGGGCCCTGTACAGTATGAGTGAGTGAGCAATTCAGATTCCACTATAAATGCTTATTTGGAAATAGTTGCACATCAGTTGCACATTCAATATCATGCTCTTTTAAGTTACATGATATCTAGCCTAATTATTACACAATGATTCTAATATATATCCAATACAATTATTGTCTTCTGGTTTTAAAAACTAGCCTCAGCTGGTTAGACTAGAAGTAGCGAATGGCTCAAGGTTATCCAGGCCTGGGTTCATATGAGTCATTGAATCATTGACTTGCCAAACTTATTTTAGGTTAGCCTGGTGGGGTTTAGCCATATTGTAGTATAATCCAGCCAATATGAATAGTTTATAATTCAATGTATTGCATAAATCTAGCCAGACGTTCTGAGTACACTAAAACTAATCATGGCTAAATGTATCATGTGAACACCATTAATTGGGATCAAGTTCACATATATTAAACCACGATTCTTTAACCATGCTTACTTGAATAAATCACAATTAAGTCACAGCAGTTAATTCAAACTACTGTTGTTTGCCAACTACAATAGCTGAGTTTCTGGAATACACAAAGTTAAAATCAAACAAACTATATTATAGCTTAGGGTGATGTGTGAATCCACTGTGTCCACATGACATGTTATATTCTAAGTTTAATTAAATACATGGGCTTGATTATGTTAAAAGTTTTTGCAACCGGCAGAATCAAACCAGCAGCAATCTTGGATCTGTTCTTCAGATCCCGAAGATGGCAGCTGTTTTTCAGCATTAAACAGGGCTCCTCGATGGAAAAACAAGCAGACTTACAATTTCTGGAGAGCAAAACTCCAAACTGTCTCTAGAGAGGAGCAAAGTGAAGTCTTTATTAGACTAGCACTGACCATGTTACCTATAGTTAGGGTAATAAAAACGTCTGCAAGAAAACAAGCAAGCTCAGAGAGCACCAAGGACCCTGCATTTCAACCCTGAGCTACAAACATTATCCTTTATTGAAGTCTTTATTGCCCCATAATCCTGGTCCTCATTTTGCAGTCATATACATCTACCGGTATATATTTGAGCAGAAACCCCAGATGTTAATCTGGGCAACCTTTCCCCGACGGCTGTAAACGCCACTTCTAAATTTTATCTCTAGTTTCCGTCGATGCAGCGTTCCGAGTTTTTTCCCCCTCTACTTTTTTTTTTTGCTCTTCCAGAAGACGGATGGAATATTTTGCATCTCTCTTTTGTTTCAAGAGAGGCGACGGGTTCTTTAAGGGCTAATTCCCGCCCTCTTAAATTTGGCGGGTGGGGTTTCCTATTCGATGACGTCAGACTCACTCATTGATAAAAGTACCGGGATTCCCTGACTGTAGGCGCAGAAAGTGTAGATGAAACTTCCTTTGCCGGCGCGGCACGTGTCTTTGCGAGCGCTCGGGAGAAGGGCGCCGGGGCTCCTTCCCCTCCTCGTAGGGAGTGAAGAAGCCGGGCTATCATGGAGCCCCTTTGTTTCCCGCCTTCTCATCCCTTCAACGACCACGTTCTGTCCTCGGATCTGTACAAACCTTCGTTTCCCGCGATCGAGACGCCTAAACCCACCCGTATGGAGACATCTAGACCGGCCGAACCCATCCGAATTATTAGCGACCCAGTCACGGGCAGATCCTACAACAAAGGCCGTCTGCTCGGCAAGGTACGTGCGGGTGTGCATTTGCAACGGGTAGGAAGGGTGGTTTCGCTGGAGGGGAGCGATCGCGGTTCCTCGGCCGCTCTGCAGTCCGTGTCCGAGGGATGAGCCAAGCTGGCTTCTGCTCTGGGCGCGGAAAGGGCTGAATGAGCCGCGTTCACGGAAAAGGACGAATGGATTTAAGGAGTAGTTTATTCTGGTTTGTGCTGGGAATGATTGAGCGTGATAATAAGTGTGGTAGTTGAGGATTGTTTTTGTGATGGGGGAGCGAAAAGCTTCCCTTCTCCTGGCCTGGGTTTTTGTCTCGTCCCGATTGAGGCTCTTCTCTTCCATCCCAGCAAGATTTCGACTGATCCGAGACAGGCCTGTCTGGGCACGACTCCTGCTGTGCTCTTCCCCATTGGGTGGCCTGGGTTCTTATACGATCTGGTTCTTCTGCCGCCGGCATGAGCCTCTGCGCTCTTTTCCCTCTCCTCCTTCCCTTAAAAGCGTCAGAGATTTCCCATTATTAGAGTCCAATTCTCTCTAAGAGGATTCTTTTAAAGAAATCCGGGCCTGTGTTGGTTTTGCTAGTCGTATGTTACACACGAGATAGAGGATAGTTTGTCTCTCCATCCTGCAGATAGTTCGGTGACTGCGAAAAGGATTTGTAGGCTAAGGGATGTATTCACAAGACCCTGAATTCTAACTCTAGCTTATGGTTGTATGTGAATCAATTCTTGTGGTTGGCTTGTTGATGCTGGAAAATTGGCTTTAATTGCGAGCAAGGAAATTTTAATTCAACTATGTTTCTCTGGGGTTTGTGAAGACTGACCTTGGCAGAGAATTTCTCTCTTGGCTGACTGTAGGGATTAGCAGAAACTAGACAGTTGGTGACCCAGTGGCCAACTTCTAGTAGTTTACGTGACTTATGGTTTAGGGTTGTGTCAATTAACCAACTGTGGCTTATTTAATAAACCATGGTTAAGCAAGCAACAGTAATATAAGTGATCACAATAGAATAAAACTAGCAAAACAAATGTGATTTAATACACTGTAATTAGAAGGTGGCTGGGTGCCAATGGATTTCTGGGTTATGAAGACTGAAAACTCGGTTCAGCTTTGATATCTAAAACTTCTGGGTTTAGAATTCTTCAGATAAATATGAGTTTCACCTACTAAGCCTCCAATTTTTATTTTTATTTTATTAATTTATATGCTGACCATCCCCCAACTTAATGGTTTATGAATTCTGGTAAAAAAATAAATAATTGCCACAGAAATTGGACTTGGGAGTGGGTGGCCTTGATCTGTATTGTGTTTATATGGAGTTTTTTGAATTATTATGAGCTTAGCTTAATCCTCAGGCTTCTGAGGGTTATCTCATTATAAACTACCCAGAGCATCCCAGAGAAAAGGTGGGGCGTAAATGCCAAAGGCATTTGGAGGACTGTATCCTCACATGACTCTTTCATGCTCAGACCGGTACATCAAGTTACTCAATAGGAATAGCTTGAATCTGAAGGCAGTCCAGTATGTTTATTCTCCAGTTGCATTGGACTTCAAGCCTTGTGATTTATAGTTAGTATGACTGAAAACTCAGCTGGCTGGGAATGTTAGCAACTAATTTTCAATGTATTTAACAGCATCACGTTGAACAAGGCTGCAGTGCTTGCTGGTGGAGGCTGTGGAATTCTATACTCATAATGTGACTATGACATTCTCCACCAAGCCATGTTTTTTTTAAATAAATCACTGATTTAGTGCCATACGTGAACCCACTCTATGTTTTTCTAGTATTTTGCGGCTTCGCAAGTGTTTTCTTTAGAAACAGATAGCTGTCTTTTAATGCTCATGAAGCAATAAAGGAGCAATATGACCGTGTGAAAATAGAACTGAAGATGAATTCCAAGATTAAGGCAAGAGGTTTTTTGTATGTTTTCTTAATCTGGTCTTGCACTGCAAAGTTCTCAGCATAACTCGTGGAAGCATGCCTTTATTTAATTTTTAAAGGATGTACCTAGAAGTGGATTTCATAGGAATGGGTGATCAGTACAAATAGGTCTATGTCGCATTTTCCCACTGTTTTGATAATGGCCATTTCTGTATTTTTTATCCTAATAGAATCAGAATGTACTCTATTTTTGTGACAATAGTCCATGCATCTCATGAAGCACACTGTGATCCACAGGCAGGGTGGATAAAAATCAATGATTTTTTTTAAAAAATCAAAAAAATCAGATTTTTTTTATTTAAATCGGATTTTTTTTAATTTAAATCGGATTTTTTTGATTTTTATCAAATTTATTTTAATAAAAAACTTTTGGGGTAAAAATCTATCGTAAGATAGTTTTCTATTTAAGATACATAAATAATTTAGTTTATTCAGCATGAAATGGGCTGTATATTCTGCAACACTGGGACTATCGGTGAGTCAACAGTGGGTCAAAGGAGTAGCAGAGATGACAGTTGCTTTTTAAAAATTATGATTTAAATCGAGTTGATTTAAATCAAGCCATTTTACTAGTGATTTAAATCATGATTTAAATTGTGATTTAAATCAACTCGATTTAAATCAAATCCACCCTGTCCACAGGACTTTACACAATAAAAAGGCATTTGTTATATTTAAGATGCCATAAGGCTATTATTTAGGTAGATGCTGCTGAGTTATATATTATTGGATACAGAGAGTTTCTCAAAATACAAGAGCAAAAATATTTTGATTAAAATATTTTTTCTTTTTGGGTCATACAAAATTGGCATACTTGTTGAGCAAAATACATAACTAGCTTTCTGAACAGGTTGGAGAAAACAGCAGCATTTATGCTGGAAATCTCTACCAGGAAAACTGTGTTTCAAAGATCATACTTTGATAGAAGGGGTGCAACTTTTGGTTGTGTTTGCTCTACATTATACAAAGCAATGTGTCTGTTCATTGGCTATGGTGATGTTTTTGTTTAATATCAAGAAAAACAATCTTTTGCATTGAATGTGGCAGTGTGTGGAAATACTTGTTTTCTTATTGCTATCAATTGGGAATGGTTTTTGATGATACTAGCTTAAATTGCTTCTGTAAAGACAATACCCAAACCAGGATTCTCTGGTGCAGAGAAACTGGTTTGTCTTGGCCAAAATGTTGTTTAGGTGTGAAGCTATTTCAAACAAAGGAGTATGGTGCAGCCAAGCTTGTACTTTCTATGCTGCTTGAAAAACTTGTCTAGAGAGTAATTTTGTTTTGGGTGTCATATGAATAGGGCTTAGCCATTCTCTGTTGAAAAAAAGCCTACCTGTGAGTAAAGTGAAACCCAAAGGCGTGAATGTAAAGCTCCAAAGCCGTAGGCAAAACTATATGCTAAAAAAATACATAACAAAGAAAGAATAGTATATTTCAAATTGCTGGATCAAATTTATCAAATTTGTACCTGCACATTTCTGACAAACATTAGAAGCAATGAAATATTTGATTGTGTAGTCAGTACATCAAGCATGTTGTTTTAACATTTGGAACAAGAGCTGGAAAATTTAGGTCTGGGTGTGAGAATCTGCATCAAGAGTATCTCTAGCCACCCACTTCTGTTGAATGCCTTCCAAGAAGCATATTATCTTCTGAAACATATTATTTTACTGTCAGCAAGCTGCCACCAATAACTTTCTAAAAATTAAATTTCTTTTTTGGATACAGTTTCTAAGGAAGACTTATCTTTTCTCCAAGCCAAGTAATCCAAGTTATTTTAGCTATTTATCATAGGATTCAATTTCTAGGTTTCGTAACCATTGTATTTGCTGTATATAAGTAATTGTTTTGTGGTTAAAATTTGATTGACCGAAAGCCAGAATATGATTCCTGAACTGTCCTTATCTCCAACTGATTTAAATCTGTTATTCATTTGAGTCATAGGTACAATGAGACAAATATGGGCAAAAGTTTTGGACACATTTTCATCTTTCTATCACAAAGTATCAGAGTTTGACATTAAACACAGCCCAGATATATCTTGGTGATATTTATGCAATTTATGTACTCATACCATTTGCGCTATGCTCTTGACAAGGTATTTATCTTGGAGTTTTAGGTCTGTTTATTATTGTTCAGTGCTGTCACAAAAAGCAGAAGGTCTGAGAAAATCTGCTACATTATAAATAGGCTATTATGGACATTAATCTATTTGACAAAGAATATTCCTGCCTGTTATTCTTCTCTGAAGCTTTTACCTGGAGACCAGACCTGTAGATGCTTTCTACATTTCTCTGTCTTTCCATCTCTCTCTCTCTCTCTCTCTCTCTCTAACAATGGCCCATTGGCTAATTTCGCAAATTGGCATAGGGCAAGGGAGGTGGTCGGGCAGGAAGTTTAAAAAAAATATAAGAATGGCCAAGAACCTTGACTACAGGCTTATGTTCAGAATATTATATTCAGAATAATGTGTGTGTCTTGAATAAGTGCCTTCCAATAATTTACTTGTGGATCATGGGAAAATAGGAAGTTCCTGCAGCAGGGTGGATAAAAATGGATTTTAAAAAAATTTAAAAAATCAGTTTTTTTTTATTTAAATCGGATTTCTTTTATTTTTATCAAATTTATTTTAATAAAATGCTTTTGGAGTAAAAATCTATCTAAAGATAGTTTTCTATTTAAGATACATAAATAATTTAGTATATTCAGCATGAAATGGAGCTTAGTTATGTAGCATGAGGCTGTATATTCTGCAACAGCAGGTCAGAGGAGTAGCAGGGATGACAGTTGCTCTTTAAAAATTATGATTTAAATCAAGTTGATCAAATCAAATCCACCCTGTCCTGCAGCATACATAGGTAATTTCTGCTTTTTGATTGGCAGGGGGGATTTGCAAGATGCTATGAAGCAATTGACCTCTCAAGCAACACAACATATGCCGTGAAAGTTATCCCTCACAGCAGAGTGGCTAAACCACATCAACGTGAGAAGGTATGTGACTGAGGCCTGAGCAGGCTGAGAATAAGTGAAGTGATCAATTTGTGCTAGATGTTGGTTCCTGAACTGTAACCTTTCTGGTGACTCTTTCAGATCATCAATGAAATTGAACTACACCGAGATTTGCATCACAAACATATTGTGAAGTTCTCACATCATTTTGAAGATGCAGACAACATTTATATTTTCCTTGAGCATTGTAGTAGGAAAGTGAGTACTAAGTTACATTCTGTCTCTGAGCCCCATGTGTTCCCTGAAGCATGTTTTACTATATTATAGCTGCCTTCTTTTACAATTATGTATGTTCTTTTGATGCCTTAACAGTCTCTCACCATCATTGTTTCATCAAAGCCTTACGAAGCTCTCTGCTGGGCAATGAAACTAGGGCTGCTATTACATGAGCAGTTGAAACAAAAATATTTTATAGCATTGTGCATTCCCCTATGGATCATATAGTTATAGTTTATAAGTTATGCCCTCTCTGGAACAATGATTTGGTGCTATCATCTTACAGGGTCCATTTTTGTTAAACTTTGTTCACAATGTTGTTAGTAAAGATGTTCACTTCTAGGTTGCTTACCAATACTGAAGGTGTGTATTGCAACTTGCCACTTTGATGCTTCCTGCTTGTCTTCCTAAATTCATTTCTGCTTTGAAAGTATTCTTAGAGTGATAAAAATGTTCTTTGTAAGAATCTGTCATAGTAGTATTTTCAGTATAGACATTAGGACTCCCACAAGTAGCACTTGTTCTATTTTAGTTACTTGTTCTTTATTTGCACTTTAATTTCATATAAACAGTGTCAACTTTTGGCATCTTAATGGCTTCAGTTGCTCTGGGGTACATCAGAGTGGGTATTAAACTGTCCAGCAAGGATTACTAGTTGCAATAGTGTTTGTAGATGTTATATCAGAATTCATGCCATTACTTAAGAGAAGAATGACCTCTGCTAGAAATGGCTATTAAGATTTGAAAATTTCTTTGGTGAACCTTCTTAATGCTTAAATACCAAATTTCATTCGTGCAGTTCATATACACTTTAGCATATTTCACTGTATCCACAAGATAAAATTTCTAGTCACTTGAGTATCTTGAATTTTGGAAAATGGACATGGAAGTATTGCACGGATTTTATTTGGAGTCTGAGAAAAAAGTTAGAAACACTTGTAGATATACCATAACTTCATTAAGAAGATTAAATGGGAATGTGGAGGAAGGTTTAGGATCAAATGGAAACATACTTGAACGCTTTAGACTGAGTTTGAATGGGAAAATATTAGAACTTGGAAGAGCAGCATATCGACCACCAAGACATTAATGTATTCAGTACCTGTCATCTCTAGCTAGCATAACCATAAGGTGGATAAGATGTTACAGTATAATAAAATTTATTGTACCCAAGTTTGTCCATGCCTGATATATAAAGGATTGAGGAGAAGCCCTTTCTATTGCCTTTACTTGTCATGAGGCTCATGGGTAACTGGGACAGTCATGTCTATGTCCCATGTATTTATAGTTCTTTTTCTGCCACCAACCACCAGTATGGCTTAAAGTTTTCCATTTCATCAAATTGAAGAATTGTGGAGCAGATTAGATTAGATTAATAACTGGCTCACATTTACTCCTGAATTTCATGGAGGAATGGGGATTTGAACTTGCGTTATGAACAGTGCGCCAAATAGCAGTCTGCTTGTAGCCTCTTTATGATTAATTATGTCTTGTTCTAGTCTTTGGCACATATCTGGAAGTCCCGCCATACCCTCCTGGAGCCAGAGGTTCGGTATTACCTCAAACAAATAATCTCTGCTTTGAAGTACCTCCACCTTAAAGGCATTTTACACAGAGACCTCAAGTTGGGTATGTACAGCACAGCTGCTCTCTTACTCATGAGTAAAATAAGTTATGCCAAAAATATATATCTAACGTGTTAACTACAGTACTTGTTTTGAGAATGAGATTGCCTTAAGGAGACACAGTATAATCTCTCTAAATTTGCATGTTAAGATCTTCTCTTTAAAAAAAAAGCAAAAACTGGGATTCTAAATGCTAAAATGTACTCAGTTTAATTTTTTTTTATTTACATGGCACTTACTGTATATAGGATTAGTAACTTCTTGGCCTAGAGGCAGGGAGGTATGAACTCTGAGAATATTTTTGTAATGTCAAAATGAGGTAGAAAGGCAGGAAATAGGTAATAAAAACTAAGCAAATAACCAATATGTCTGCCACAGGTAACTTTTTCATCAATGAAAATATGGAACTGAAAGTTGGTGACTTTGGTTTGGCTGCTCGCCAGGAGCCTGCAGACCAGAGAAAAAAGTAAGTAGTTCAACATTTTTATGCCAGGCATCAGCAAATTCTCAGGCCTTTGCTTTATTGCATAATATCTCCCAGTTGCCTAACCCTTCTCTATCCACCCCTACCCCCCCCAAGACTGAAAAGCAGGAGATTTTTAGTGGAAGTTCTAAATTCCATTTTTTCAAAGGAGTCTATGATTGATTAGAAAAATTAGAAAGGGTGGACCAATGCAAACATTAGTGTTTGCAGGCCCATGTTGCCAGTCCCTGCCGTATTTCTCTGGGACTATGTTCTTGTGCTGCCATCTCTAATGCGCTCTTTATTCTAAGTAAGGGTGAAGGGTCTTCTTTTACAGAGCTTTATTGTCCTGGTGCTTCATTCTTTGCAGCTGCGTTTTGGGGGGAGGGGAAGAATCTGAGTGCAACAGGGGCCAAGGGACTTGAAATAGACTCCTTTGCATCAGCCTGGAACTTGGTCACCGAAGAAACAATGTGGTGTCTGTAGTAATGTCTAAGGCTGAGACCTTGTGGTTTGCTCCATAGAGGGGAAACAATGGGTAAGCTTATATTGTGTTACGCTTCGTGCAAATGTTGGCAGTTGGAGTTGGCAAACGTACTGATCAGAAATGAGTATTAGTGGGAAAGCAGTGTCAGTTTACCAGCACAGGTTGTTAGGTGCAGAAGGCTCATACTTCCTCATTGGGAAGTTGTGAAAAAGCTTCTTGCGTGTCCTGTTCGTAGAACAAGGCAATGTGTTCGTATGACTTACGAAGTGGCTGGAAGAAGGAAGGTTTCTGAAGCCCAGCTGCAGAATAAAAGAAATGACAAAATAAAAATGGCAAGACGTGTTTTGTTTTCTGGCATCCTTGATGAAAAGTTTAATTTCTCCTAAGAGCTAACAATGAATGGATCAAGTTGTATTATAGCTTTAAAAAAAATCACCCCTAGCAGTAGTGGAACTTCAAAATAAAAAATAGTTTGGTTATATATTTTTTTTCTTAAAAGGCTCATTTTTTATTTACTGGTACTGTGCTTCTTCCCAGTGTTGACAACTTACATTTAACAAATACCTGCCTAATTTGAGAGGCTATCTTGGTGGGACTTTTGGGGAGGGGGGAACACTTCAGTCCTATTTACTGGACCTGCTATGTGGTGGCAGCAGCAGGATCATTGCCTTTAGTTACCTATACCTCCTAAATGTACACCCTTAAGTACTAGCTGAAAATTCTAGCTAACCTGACCACATGAAGGATACTAAGTTGGGAAAAGTTGTCCCTTGGCATAATAAATATGTTGTCAAGTTGAATAGAAGGCATGAAAGAGAGTTGCAGAAATGTTAGGCTCAGTTCATTGTCTCATACTGTGTACTTTTGTCCTCCAGGACTATCTGTGGTACTCCAAACTACCTTGCTCCAGAAGTGCTGGTGCGACAAGGACATGGGCCAGAATCAGATGTATGGTCTTTGGGTTGTGTCATGTAAGTGTAGACTTTAAATTTTACGATTGATTATTTGCTTCTGCAGTGTGGCTTTTGTGGAGCTCTGCTCTTTCATGTGGGTAAATAAAATAGTAAGCATTAATAGGTGCATGTACATGTATATATAACATCATTTAAAAGTCTGCTGTTTTGTCACTTAAAAGTACTGAAGTTAGGCCAAAGGTTAGACTGGTCCAAGAACCTGAATAGAAATTCTAGTAAAATAAATAGAATATAGCAAAAGGTCAAATTCTAGCCATTAAATCCAGTTTCAGCAGAGTATTATGGAGAAACTGCAAAGTAATCACAAAATAGCATTATTTGAGCCTTCTCCAAGCTTTGACAAATAGCTGGCAATGGGATATATAAATCAATCACTTCCTTGAGTACCATGTAAGTCCAAGTCAAAATGGACTTCATGGAGGCAGTAACTTGCATGAGGCCCATTTTAGTTCTCTCTTGATTTCTGCAAATCTTAATATCCTTGCGTGGAAGAGCTGAAGAAGCTTCTTGGATGAGAAGCAAAATATCTTCAAAGAAAAACCAGAAAGTCCAGTTGCCTCTTGAAAAAGCACCTTGGGACACTCCTTCCGTATGTCTATAACATACAGTGTTCTGATGAAATGTAACAGAATAATAGGGTTGGAAGAGACCATGGAGGTCTTCTAGTCCAACCTCCTGCTCAATTGGACCATATGCTATTTCAGACAAATGGTTCTCCAAAAATGTTTCCTTGAGGGCATTAAAAGGAGTTGATGACAAAGTGCATCCACTTTCTCTTGTTGATGCCAAATATACCAGGTCTCCATAACAGTCTAGTTCCTTGTTCCTGCAGTCTATAAAAATTAGCCTCAAGAAAAAGCTCAGCTGATTATCTAGACTGTGTGTAGATCACGGAGTTTAAGCTATGTGTGATCCATGTGTGTTTAAGCATAAATTTATATAACATTGCTTTAAAATTCAAAACATTAGGGCTGTTCTACTTTTAATGATCTACTTTTTAAATTTCTTCAAAACAAATGGAAACAAGTGGCTTTTCTGCAGTGCACAGGGTAACTGTTTAACTCTCAGGTGGTATTCAACAGTTTTCCGGAGCATCTTGAAAAATAGTCTGAGCCTTTAGATTGCTTTGCTTTGGTTACCCACAGTTTCCTGTTTACACAGCCCATATGGAAAATGTACTTCTAAAGGCTGAGAAAGGGGAGAGGGATCTTCACTGAGAAGCCACTTAAGGGAACAACTCCCTGTGCTTCAGCTCAGATTCATTCCAGAAAAGTTTAGTTCCTAAGAGATTCTTAGCTCTGATCACATGGAGGAGCCCTGTCATCTGCCAGCCGGATGTGCCTCCGGTCTGCAGGCACTTGGAGGAATAGCAATGTCTCATGAGCTTGATTACAGAGAAAACTTAAAGTTGGGTGTTGTCTAACATCAACTTCCTCCATGGTTGCTGCTGAGTCAAGTGCTAATAGAGAGCCTGTCAGTGCTGACTGCAGAGAAGTGGTATCCTTCAATCTCCTTAGCATTCATTTTTTGCCCTCTTCTTTCTCTCCCTCCCACACTTTAGGTACACTTTACTATGTGGAAACCCGCCTTTTGAGACTTCAGATCTCAAGGAGACCTATCGGTGCATCAAATATGTTGTATATACACTTCCTCCTTTCCTTTCTGTATCGGCCAAAAACCTCCTCACTGGCATCTTGAAACGCAATCCGGAGGAACGCTTCACATTGGAAGAAATCTTGGACCATGAGTTTTTCACGAAGGTGAGTGGCAGCCCTTTCAAAAGTGCACTGTTTTAACTTTGGCGCAGTAATGCCAGCACCACAAACTGGGCTGTTACAAAGTATAATCCATTGGTAGTTGTATCTCCATCTTTTGCTTGGATACTGTCCTTCTAGAGGTGAAGTTTTCAGGTGAAGCCATCATTGGGGCCCTAGCAGCACAAGAACATCGCTGCCCCTATTACTAAGGGTGTGAGCTCCTGGAATCTTGCCTGGATTGTAATTTAGATAATTACATCCTGCTTCTAATTAACACTTGCGCTCACATGACTCTGCTCTTTGCTCTGGCTTTTGTTTTCTGAACAACCTGATTGTTACATTCTTGCCTCTTAAATCAGAACCTTCTGCAGAATTTTAAAACCCATGACTGTGGAACGTTTGATGAAAATGGCCCAATTTCAAACCTGCCTAAGAGAGTTCTGAAAAAGCAAGGAAAATGTAATATAATGAATGCTTTCTGCTCTGACATTTAATTTAAATTTTACTAATACTTTTAACTTTCTAGGCATATACACCTGATAAGCTCCCACCCAGCAGCTGCATGATGGCGCCCGAACTGAGCCCCCCCAACCCTGCTAAGAGCCTATTGGTAAAGGTCACAAAGACACTCTTTAGAAAAAGAAAGTCCAGAGGTGAGTTCTGCAGTGTGACCTATTGACATATTTCCTAAAATCCTACAACTGTATTGGACAAAAAGTAGTAGCATGCCTATCCTATCCAGTTTGTGGTCTTTTGGTTGCACGTCTTGGACCAATCATCAGAGAATATTTAATTTTAATTGGTTTGAGAGTTGCCTTTGCATGTCTGGGAAATTTTGGAAGCATTAGAATTGGCAACAGGCAAGTCATTCTTAACAATTTACTATATGATATTTGAGATATAAATAATGGACAAGGGAGCTGTAAATTTGGCTATATTATCAACTATATCATTCCTATATTATCTTTTGGATAGAATTGTGGTCAAGCTGAATGTAGTTTTCTGGTTTTAACACTCATTATTATCCTCCTTGAACTCATTTTGTCACTTATAGGATTGTCTGTTATATAAGTCTTCTGAATTTTTCCCCCATCCACAGTTAAGAAGACTACTTCTGAAGAGAAAGATGACATCTCTAAGCTGGTATCGGGCCTTGTAAAGACTTCTATTTGTAGGCAAATAAGTCACAAAATGCTGGATGGAAATGAAGTAAGTTAATTTTAGGAACTTTTTTGATCACATGGCCCTTTCAGAAGGGGAAGAAAGAAGGATCAGATGGATAGAAGGATATAGACTAAAATGACTGGTTTTTTTTTAAGGTCACTCCTGTGAATGGTCAGAGTCCTAGCTCTAGCCCTGCAGAGACCCTAGCTGAAGAGGGTTCACAGAAGTCCATCTTCAGATCCATTCGTGGGACAACAGCTAGTAGCTGTGAAGGTGAGAATTACCATTATCTCCAATAGGATATGGTGATGTTCAGAATATATTTACCTAATGAAGTGGCTATCTTTAAACGTATACAAAGTTGGTTAAGTGGATTAAATCCAGTAAGGAGTTTACTAGCAGCGGTAGAGCTGAAGAAGCTTTTTGGATGAGAAGCAAAACGTCTTCAAAGAAAAACAAAGTTCAGTTGCCTCTTGAAAAAGCACCTTTGGGACAACTATGACTTCGATGACTGAGAATCTCCATAGACAAGCAGTAGACTTGCAAATACCTGAGATCAGGATTGTAATTTGAACAGATGACCTCATAACATTGGAAATTCAAGATAGCTATCAGTCCAATAGCAGAACCAAGACTTATTCCTGGCCTTTCTTAGATAAAGGATATTATTTATCAAGGAACATACGTCGGTATGGAAAGTACACCAGACATTTGAAGTAGAAAAAAGGTCATTGGAAGAATATCTGAAGAACAGCGAAGAAGATGCACTGGAGCTATTTCATCATGAAGGCTTACTAAATATTGGAGAAACCAAGCTGGCCTACAAGAAAAGACCAAGTGAAGGATAGAAAAGAGACATGACAAGACAAAGTATTACATGGCCAGTACAGAAAAAAATAATAATAGGCAAGCAGGTAACAACAAGACCTGGAAATGGCTAAGGGCAGGAAAGTTGAAGAAACAGACTGAGGGGCTAATTCTGGCTGCACAAGACCAAGTCTTAAGAACATACAAAATGCATACAAAACCAGTCTTGAGAAGGTAGTCACAGACAGTAAAGGCCACTTCTGCAAAGAAGCTGAAGTGGACCACCTAGTTAGCCACTGAAGAAAATTGCACAGACTGATCACGATCAGTAGCATGACAAAGTACCAGCATTGGAATATCTGGAAGAAATACTATTTACCTGCAAGTAAGAACTGGTCGGACCAAAAAATAGACAAAATAATAGGAAATAAAGAAGCTAAATTGCTCTGGGACTTTAAAATTTAAACTGACCAACACTGCCATATAGCACCCCAGACATAACAACTATTAAGAAAGATTAAAAAAAAGTTTGTCAATGGACATGGCAATACCTGGAGGCAGCAGAATATAAGAGAAAGAAATGGAGAAAAATATCACTAAATACAAAGACCTACGATAGTTGTAGAATGATTGTACTAAAGGAAAGCAAAGATTGTACCCAAGGCACCTATTGCTATTGGTACTATCCCAAAACATCTGGAGTGTCATCTGAACACCATTCTCATTGACAAAATCACCATCAGTCAATTGTAAAAGGCAGCTTTGCTTGGAACAGCTTAAAGATGATATCTTTTAACACCATCAAACAACATCTGCCTACTCCAGGTATTTGGGAAGGACTCAATAGGTGCATAAAAATGCCAAATTCAGGCCAATCATCTGGCTGAGTTTCTGGCCAACAATTTATTAAACTTGTATGTATGTGGCCCGACTTCAAGGACTCCGGGTGGATTACAACAATCAAATTAGAATAAAACCACTGAAACAGGAAAAAGAAAGATAAAAGATGGCAAGTGCGACAGGCCAGATGGATCAAAGTGAGGGGGTCTTGTTCTCCCTTGCCAAGGGCCCTGGATGGAGATCCAGGGCCCTTGGCAAGGCTCTTCTAAACAACAACAGCAGAGTGGGGGCCATCTTAGCCAGATGGATTTCTGCTATGGTCTGGCAGGGAACAGCAAAAGGTATAACTTTTAAGAGGTTCAACGTAATCAATTTTGCTAATTTGGTGAACCAGAGATTGCAATTTTACATCATCATCTAATAAAAATGAATTTCCCTAACATATATATTCAGATTTTTAGCTTCGCAAATGAGAATCTCCTTAAGCTTGCTCCATAGAAGCTGGAATAATCTTGTGTCATTATTTTTCTTTTGTCTAGTATTTGAAGACTGTGTCACAGCATCAGCTCTTTTTGAATCTGCTGTTGTGCTCCTGAAGAACTGTCTTTCTATTATGCCATCAGGTAAGTAAAGGGTATTAATTCAGGAATCCAGAATGGGCTGGTGGACCCTGTGGAAAGAGTTTTTCTCCTAAAAGTTAATAACAGGATAAAGCACAGGAGGTACAAAGCTCTATATTGTAGCCTCCGAACACTTTTCCCTCTCCCAGTCCTTTTTAATATTAATGTCCAAGTGTTGACGGTCTGTTCACTAGGAGAGGGAATGGAGAACAGCATATTTAATCATCCATATTGCCCCCCCCTCCATTTGTAGTGGGAGAGAAACTGGGCAATTATCTTTACCTTTGGGTCTCTCACTATGATTTAGAACACTGGAAAATTGTAATCCTATTCAAGATTAAAATGGACCATGTAAGCAGCTAGGATGAACCCTGTTTTTCCAGTTATATTTGTGTCAGCTGGAACTGCCCTTAAGGAAGCCTTGGTTTGCATGCAAAGGCTTCCATGTGAGCTGAAACACTGTTTACAAAGGATTTGAACTTTGTAAAGGAAACTAAATCATATAGGGGTCTATATTCCCTGCTGAATGTGCAAATGGCTTTTCGCACTTGGTCATGAATTGGAAGAGAGTGGTTCTTCATAAATAAGGATTAGTTCTTGCTTCACATATTTGTCCTCCATATTTAGAGGCTGATGTTGGGAAAGAGGAAGAGGAGCCATCTTAGTTTGCTTCTTCCTATGTTGTCTGTCTTTGATACAGTCCTTTAAAGAGTATTATTTGATCTAATATGAACAATTTCTCCTAAATTAATGAGTATCTTTGTTCATTATCCAGCTGAGACGAACCCTGCTTCCCTGGCTTGCCATGAACATTTTGTTTGGGTGAGCAAGTGGGTGGATTATTCCAACAAGTACGGATTTGGTTACCAGCTCTCCAACCACAGCATTGGGGTCCTCTTCAATGATGGAACTCACATGTCTCTCTCAGCTGACTGGAAGTAAGTCGAATAAATTGATTGATTGAGGAGCTGCTGAGGAAGGGATATGGATATAGTTGAGGCTGGTAAAGCACTTGGATCAGCTCTGCACTACAGCAGAAGACCTATTGCTCAGCCTTATTGGCTGAATGATAATCACTGGATAGAATAGGCAATAAAATAATGGATGACTGCAGACATGAGCAAGGAATTCATAACAAAGGGAAAGTGACATTTTCTGTTTAAAGTAGCTCAACAATTTGTGCTTACCTTTTTTCCCCCTTGGGGTGCTCTAGAACAGGACTATCAAACTTTCGTCGTCACTGCGTCATCACGTGACATATCATGACTTTTTCCCCCTTTGCTAAACCGGCATGGGCATGGCCAGCATGTGACAGTTTGACAGCCCTGCTCTAGAACAGTGGCCCCCAACATTTTGGGCACCAGGGACCGGGTTCATGTAGAAAGATTTTTCCGCAGATCAGAGGGAGTGTGGTTTTGCATGCTGCCATAGATGGGGCTTCACTTGTTTGCGTGGCCCAGTTGCTGGCATGCGGTCCACGGACTGGGGGTTGGGGACCCCTGCTCTAGAAGACCTGATATGCATTTTTAAAACACATTTTAATATTTATCACTATATTAGAAACCCTCTTTCGGAGCTATGCACTTTCATTCCATGTCATGCGGCAGGATTGTTGATGTTACCAATGCTATAAGTTGTTGAATGGCCAAAAAAATAAAAAATAAAATCAAAATAAGGAGATACCTCTCCATTTCATTCTACCATACGTAGATAGTTTGCATAACATAATATATCCAAAGTGTTACTATAGCTAACTACCTTCTCTTACCTTTTAGGAAAGTGCATTACAACCTGACAAATAGCAAACGTTTCACCTTCCCGACTTCAGCAATTCCCGAACAGCTACAGGAACAGATGGGGATTCTGCAGTACTTTGCTTCATACATGGAGGAGCATCTCATGAAGGTAAGATGTTATGTATGTTTATGTTTATGCTGTGATGGTTTCTGAATGCAGAAGGAATTGCTGACTTTGTAACAAATTCATCTAGAAGTTGATAGGCATCTTTCATAATACTTTCAAAGAGAATAGTTAAATCCTCCCTCCCTCCCTCCCTCCCTTCTTTTCTCTTTGATCAGCAGGTCCCATTGTCTGATCTGTACTCAGATGCTATGCCTTATTCTTCTGGCTATGCCTATTCCACATGTATAATGAAGCTTTAGCTAAAATTCTGCAGAATGCAGTGAATTTTTGCTAATTTGTCTTTTTCTTAAATATGGTTTCTGATATTGATGTACCTGAGCTATTGTTTTGCAGTGGAAGCTGAGGAATTACTTATTATCATCTGGGTGGGAATGCTGAGAATAGATTGAGAAGGAATGTTAGGAGTTGATTGTTCTTTTGTCCATTTTTCTAACTTTTCTGTCCTCTTTCAAAGGGTGGAGATTTGCCCAGCATAGAAGAGACTGGACAGCTGCCCCTGCTGCTCCTACAGTGGGTGAAAACTAATCAGGCTTTACTGATGCTCTTCAGCAATGGAACTTTACAGGTGTGTAATGCAATAAGTCCCTTATGTAAAAGTATTTATGACCCGTGATCTTGTCTACTTAAGAGAATTCTAGACAGACTTCTCATGCCAAACAATTCCAAGGCTACTTCATGTTAACTGACATGAGAAATATTTTTATTAACAGGAAGATGCTATGCCAAAGGTAGTTTATCTTTTGAAGGCTTTTATTTATTTCTTGCCCTTACTGTTTCTATAAATAATGCAAGGTAGTGAACATACCTAATACTCCTTCCTCCTCATGAAAATACAAGGCTCTGCAATGGAAAGGGGTTGCCTATGAGGAGGTTTGTGGGAACCCCTCAATCCTATATATTGCTTTGAGAGTAGAATAGGTACAATAAACTCATATTTGCTACCTTATTATACTTGGAGAAAAGGCAGGATATAAGTGCATATATGTTTGTTATAGTAATTTAACATATATTGGATACCTGTAGGCCCATTTCTGTATATCTATATATTTAGCCCTTCAATTCAACTTCTGCATTTTGCTTCCTTCCAGTGTTTTAACTGAAGGGAACAGAGGAAGAAAACTACAGTCAAAGTCTCATAATGTCCTAGCAAATGTGCTAACCAGGGGTGTGGCATGCATATTCTCCATAACTACAAAGATCATACAGCCAGAATTTAGTAGCAAGCCCCTAAATAGCAGCTGTTCAATTTCCTGCCAATTTTCAGCAGGAAGTGAAATATAGTAAGTCTAGCAAAATGCTTATATGCTTAATCCACATCTAAAATATAAAAGGTAATCCCACCAAAAAGCAGATCTAAAATTCCAGGCCTATTTCTGCTGAAGTTATGGAACATTGCTTACAGCACTCTATAATTGAAGAAGAGTTATTTGTGCTTAATCTAGATGCATGCAATATAAAAGTGGAGAATAAAAAAAAAAAGCCAGACCAGAGGTGTTAAACGTGCGGCGTCACGTGACATATCGCAATTTTTCCCCCCTTCCCTGGCCGTGGGTATGGCCAGCGTGTGACTCATCCGGCCCGCAGCCCTGTGCTAGACCCTTAAATAGCCATCAGTAATGAGTATTAAGAAAGTGATTGTGCTGTCTTTTTTTTATAGGTGAACTTTTACAACGATCATACGAAGTTGATCTTCAGCAAACCTGACCACTCCTGCCTCCTTACCTACATAAACTGTGATAGGAATTCCTATACTTACAAGCTGAGCAGCATTGCAGAACTGGGCTGTTCACCAGAACTTCAACGTCGGATCAAGTATATTCTCAAACTACTGCTACAGCGAGCAGACGCTTAAGGCTGCAAGCGGAGTAGTCTCACCGGAACACTCCATTACTCCAAGGATGGATACGTTAATAGCATAAAGGACGGCAAACTCTAGGCATCCACAGTTGAAAGCATTCCGATGTCTAATTTTCTAGAAAGGAAAACTTCAAATCTGCACACATGTAGCTCCGAACCACTCCTCAGGATTCATCCACTTCTGGATCCCTTTCATCATTGTGTTTCTTGTTTTAAAAAAAAAATGGCTTGATGTGAATGCTTCAGTTCACAGACGAATGGTGTAGGGATAGATGCCTTAAGTTTTATGTCTGTGCAATCATTGCACAATTGGTTATGCACATGGTGTCACTGGGTAGAAAGGAAGGAGAAATTACGCTCCATACACTATATACAGGGTAAGGAAAGTACAAATATTTTTTTATGATGGTTTCTAGGCTTTTGGTCTAATGCCTGATAGCAGATATTTGGTATGGAAAGTGGTGTACCAGAGCCTGATGGAAAGAGGAGTAAAATATAGAAATTGGTGGCTTTACTTGTGTTGTCTCAAGTCCTTGCAACACTACCATCGTTTGCTCAGGAAACTGGCATTGCACCGCTGGGAGTTGCGTTACTACCCAAGCTTCACTTGGCTCTGACTCATGGACCAAAGCTGTGAATTGGGTGTGGCTATCTAGAGAAGAAAAGGCTTATGCAAGGAAGCAGTTGTGGCATGGCCGACTTCTCTACTGTGAAAGCAGATAAACAGCTTCTTGTGCCAGCTATAATATAGTTCTAAACAAAAATGCTTGAGCCACTCTAGTTGGCTAGAGTGCCAATTGCCTGTCCTCTAGAATTGGTAGAGAAGAACTCTTCCAAATTTGGAAGGACTATTTAATGGCGAGAGTTGAATGTTCAGCCTTAAAATCTGGATCGATTCAGGCTTTTAGTGTTATTGCAAAGCACTTGAAGCTATGAAGGAACATGTTGGGTAATATAACTGTTACACTAATTAAGCAAATGGGACTCCTTTTTGCTGAAACTGTGAATGACCTGTTTGCTCCAATTTCTTGGCTGCTTTTCAGTCCAGGGTACAGCAGGAGATCTCACAAATTGGTACAGACTTGAACAGCTTAAAAAGAAGCTGCCCACTTGAAGTTTTGAACCTGACAGACTGTTCAGATGTGGGGCCTACATGGTGTGAACATCAAAGAACTTTATTTATGTATTTATGCCAACTATTTATTTTGCACATGTGTCCTATCAATCACGCACACCATATTTCCCAAAATGCAGCAGTTTGATTATAATAAACACATTTTTAATAAAAGCAGGATAAATGCTTATTTTGTGTCCAAAACAGTATCTTGTGGAAACCAGTTGACTCTGTGGAACTTGGAGTAAGGCAGATGACTACATAGATTTCTTTAGAGCGGTAATTTCAGCACTCTGACCTGCTACAATATGCTGTATGCTCTTCACAATAAGAAAAGTTTTACACCAGTATTTTGATAAAAGAGAAACTGACAAAACAAACATCCGAGTGGTGGACAGATTTGGTGTTCTGTGCTTCCAAATTCCAAACCAGGCTTCTGGCATTCTTCTGCCTATTATTTGGAGAGGCTAACAACAGACATTTACTGTTTATTGATTGCAGTATATTCATTTTTATATTGCACATCTTCCAAGATGCCAGTTTATAGCCAATTCCCATGAAAAATCTAACACAAAAATACCTGCTTTATAAAACTCGGGTCAATGGATAAAATCCCAGATGAAAAACTCGATAATAGCAAAATTCAAAAGCTGACCTGAGCAAGATTATTTTAACCATTTTGTGGAAGGCTGGTTATGAAGGGGCCAGCTGAAAGCCAGGGCCAAGTATGTGGCCAACCTGGAGAAGCCCCAGCCCCCTGAGCTTCGTGAGTTTGCCTGGCAACATGTCATGGGAGGAATTTAGGTGATCAATTGCTTTGATTAGGCTCTTGCACTGTTATGTCAACACACTGGAGATTCTTGTCCCCTTTCTGGATAATTTTTATTTTAACATTCTTTACATATGCAATTTACAAAACAACCTTCAAACTTAAAAAATAGTAAAGAAGCAAGCTCGAATGCAATTATGAAAAGGAAAAATTCTTACATTTAATACTGATCAATAGGCACTGATTTACTAATACACAAATATAATCAGTACAATATGGTATTGTAAAATATATCAAAATCTCTGCCATGGAAACATAGCTGCATCCTTTGATCAGTAGAAAATTCTATATTTTCTAAAACAGATCACACATTTTGGAGTCAAATTATTCTCCAAAGCACCAGAAGGCAGGAAATGGTTGGAAACTAATTAAAGAGAGAAGCAACCTGGAATTAAGGAGAAACTTCCTAACAGGACAATTAACCAGTGGAACAACTTGCCTTCAGAAATCGTGGGCACTCCATCACTGGATGTTTTTAAGAAGAGACTAGACAGTCAATTATCTGAAATGGTATAGGTTCTCCTGCTTGAGCAGGGGGCTGGACTAGAAGACCTCCAAGGTCCCTTCCAGCTTATTCTATTTATTCATTTCTGATAACCACTCAATATCTGAAATAATGGTTCCAATTTCTCAATATGATTCTTTTAGTCACCCTCCATTCTTGGTACAATCATAATTCCTGATGAACAGATTCTAAAGCTTAGTACAACATCACAACAACATCTTTTATCATATGAAGATTTTCCAGTAAAATCTACATATGTACATTATTTTTTTTTCTTTTTTGTTCAATCATGTGCAACATTCAGACTGCCTGGACAAGTCCCTGCAATTTTCTTGGCAAGTTTTAGAGAAGTGGTTTGCCATTGCCTCCTTCCCACGTCAGAGAATGTGACTAGCCCAAGGTCAGCCAGCTGGCTTCGTGCCCAATTCAGGATTAGAACTCAAGCTTTCCCATTTTCAAATGAACACATGGTCATATCCCTTGGGTTAATGAAACCTCACATTTTTACACCTCCAGCACCAAAAACCTGATGTCCAACCTTTCAGATATTTGAAAGATACTTTGAGATACTTACATCCTTTACTAATTTCTTTTTATGCTTTACTGTCATCTGAGTAGAGTGGAGCTATTTGGGTATCTTTACTGAATAACCAGAATAGTTTTTTTATACAATTTATACTTTGCAACTCAAAAGGCAGATATTATAGACTTAGAATATCTGATGGGTTCTGGCTTTAATGTAGAATGTTAATATTTTTATCAGTATTTATCACTCAATTGTGTGTTTGAAATAACGCCTGACAAACTGTGCACAGTATCTACATTCTAATATGCAATGCAAACTATTCTATCAACGGAGAATTAAAACAACTTCTAGCAATAGCAAAGATATTTTAAGCAATTGTAGGTGTTTAAGTTCTGTGAAAATAAACATTAGATTTAATTAAGTTTAATTACTTTAAATAATTTAATTATAGTTAGAAGATAAGAGGCTGTGACGAGCCTTTCATAGGAAATTATGCCAAGGGCAAGTTGATAGCATGAACTGGTCTTCTATATAAGGTCTGAGATGAAAAAGGGAGGTGTTTTTTTTATGGTAAAGTGGTCTCAGCTCTTGTAGACTTAAAGATTAAAATGTACTATCAGTTAGAATGGAAAGCAGTACAATGGCAAGGCAGAAACTTACTGCCTTTTTTGGTAACATTTCTTGGTAACTAAAATCCCTTCCCAGTACTAGAACAGGATTGGATACATACCTGCAATTATTAAAGTTAAAGACAATGTTAGATTGGCTAATATTGGTATTCTATTTTGCCTGTTCAGGCATTTCTTTCAATAGTCTATCAAGTGGATTGAAGTAATTTTATGTATGTATGTAGAGTAATCCCCATATGACATCTTCAGCATTACATTCAGCATGTTCATTTCTAGTTGATAAATGCTAATAGTTTGGACATCACTACCCCCCATTTAGCAAAGTTGGCAGAGATGACAAATTCATATTTGATACATAGCTTTCCCTAAATTAGTGTTCACCCAATGTGTTAAAGCATAACTGCCATTATTATTAACATTTGGTTATATTGTACTTTATCATTCAAAGAAGTAAAGCTAATCAGTTAAAATATAATTTCAAGAGTTAAGTCAAGAATGTGTTCAGGTTTCCCCACGTTTGAGTTTACAGGATTAGGTTTTTGACCTCAATGGAAAAAAATTACATTGACATAGGATGCAGTGAGAAGAAAATGTGCTTCTATGTCTCAAACATTCTCAAGGTTTTTAAAAATCTTGGTGCATGCAGAGGCCTTTTGATATTTTGGTCTTTCACTTGCAATATATGTCTCAAATCCAGCAAATACTTATATAGCTATATTTTGGGCATCTTTAGCATAATCTGCTTTTGAAAGATCCTCTTTGTTCAAGGAAGAGCAATGGGTTTATTTATTTTTTTTAAAGGAAGTTACATAATCTTTTGTACAAGCAAAGGCATAAGTAATACTGTAGATCCAAACAATTCTAACTGCCAATTGAACAAAAGAATTCTTAAGGAAATGTGTTGACCACTGGGGCAGATTTCTTAGTTTTATCTTTTGATGCTCTATGGTTTTAGCACATATATTTTGCACCGTATGTTGTTACTTTAAACTATGTCCAGATACATCCCCAGTTCTGACTGATCTTAATCTCTAGCAAGATAAAATTAGGAGAGGGAAGTTAATCTTTAGGAGCTGTATTCATTCATAATATAATCCATGAACTGTGACTACAGCAAAAAGCGATGAATTTGTGAAAGTGGCTGAAGCAAAGCTATCATTCTCCACATCCCAGAGGGACCGACTAGCAATGTGCAACCCTTGGTTGGCCAGCTGGCCCAGAAAGACATTACACACAAGTTTGTAGCGTGGTGGGGTTAGATCTTTGACCCTGCTCCTGACAAGCTCTGACAGGTTTTGGACCAACTGCCCACTATTTGCAGGATTGTATTTGACATCACTGAAGAAGCTGGCCAGAACGGACTCAAGAATCTGCTGTGTGCGCGAGGAATTAAATCTGCAACCTTTATCTGGCTGGGTCTTGTAGGTGTTCTCATAGTGTATCTCCTGAATGGGTTCAAAGAGTGGTAGCCCAGAAAAACTCACTCGACCACAATGCATCCAGGGCCCAATAGAAAGGCGCCTTCCTCCAGCAGCCAATGAATTTCTCCTACTCGAAAATGGGGCATTGAGGATGCTCATAATGGAGCTTCTCCGGGATGGTGGGAAGGGGGCTTTCCCTTCAATACTCTGCAGAGGCAGTAATGGTCTAGGTGCCATATCTGTAGGCTGGGAGCTCTGGTGGAGAGGTAGTGATCCTTTCTTTGGATGGGTGGAATCACTATCTTCTGAAGCCATTGCCTAATTGAATGTTTTCTGGGATGTTGCCAGAGGCCAATCTACCATACATCAGCAGTAAAATCCTCGAAAAGAAAAGAGTCACACAGTTACAAGTAATTCCTTGCTGGAACCTATTTTCCTAGCACCCATTCTTCTTTGTATATATATATTCTTAATTATATTAAATGTAGTAGACTTCTTTTGTGGAATTTTTTTTTTTGCTATAAATTTATTAATAAAACTGAAGGGATTATTGTTACATCTTCTCCTATTATTTACTTATTTATTATTAGCCACCCAACTCCAGTGGTCTGAATATTTTGAAAAGAGCTCCAGATAAAGCAAATATGCTTCCCAAAATCTTGATTTTATTTTCATATATAAAATTTACATTACAAAATGAAATTATGTAATATACTGATTTATTCATATATATGTTCTTTTATACTATCTTGGTAATTCTTGGTGTTCTAATTCTCTATCGCCTGCCTGCCTGCCTGCCTATCACTATCATCTACATCTATCTACCTATCTATCATCTAGCTATCGAATTAGAATACGGTTAGATTTATATTATTTCATTTTTCAAAGAAATATAGCCCCCCCCCAAAAGAGTATGATTTCCATGTTTAAATATTCCAAAATATTTAAATATTTCAAAATTCCTTTTCTCTTCATGTGGTTTTCTTAGCCCAATAATATTGCTCTTCAATTGCCTACAATCATGTGTTTACATAGATTTCAAGGACTAGATCTGCCTCTCATTTTAGCCCCTCACTGCCTCTTTCCTATTTTCTCCTTTCAGCCTCTTTGTTCTATATCTTTGTTGTCATTGTATTACAGGTTCTATGCATCTATATCGACAATCCCCGTGACTCCAAATGTATCTGAAGAATGTTTATGATTAAAAAATCAAACAAGCCTGGAATAAATAGGCTAATGCTAAAAATCATAAAGCCAGTGAGAGAAGAATAAATCAGCCAAATATTTGAGGAGCTTCCTTTAATTATTTTTTGTTCAAATTGCAAAACAGTTGATAAAAGCCAAGAATGCATCATCACTCTTGTAGTAATAAACATCATTGCCATATAGAAATTAGTAAAGTCTTAATGTTGCCAATATTCTTAAAAATTCAATTTTAAATTATTCTAAAGACTAATATTTATAACAATATTGGAATAAAACTTTTAAATATTCTGTTTTCTTGTAGATAGAATGGGTTAAGAATTTGAATAAATTCTATTGATACTATGAATTCAAGTATTTTTTTGCAATTAGGGAATATTATCTTGATCACCTAATGCAAATTATTGTATTTTTAAATTGTTCTCAATGCTTTTATATTCAATAATTGGAACTGATAAATAATAATAAAGGATTATTTTCCACTCTAGTTTATTTAGTAGGAATTTTTCAAAATATCTTCTCTGTTCCTTATTTATCTACCCATTTTAGCCTAGAATCACTAACCTGCATTTTGTAGCCAGCATGCTTTCTCTTTCTCTGTTTTTAAACATTCTTTGAATGGGTGAAAAAAGTTGCATGCAATCTATATGACTGTTGTTTCAATCAACAATGAAATTATTAAAACTTCCTTGGTGATAATGCATTAAGATTAATTGATCATACAGGCACAAGTATATGAATTCTATAGCACACAAGAAAATCAGTAACAGAATAGCTGGGTGCTAGTACCCTCTTGTTTTCCGAGGCACATTTTTCCAAGAGAAAAGTCTTGGAAGGTCTTCCCCATTGTTCTGAATGCATTGTTCTGAAGCTATGGAAAGCTGAGTTTGTGTCCCTTCTTTCTTCCTTCAGGGGAAATCTCTAGCTAAGTCTATGTAAGGCTAAAAGAAGGTCGACCAGTTTGCAGCTCAATATGCTGTGTGAACCTAGGCAATGTAGTTAGTTTGTTAGTCTTTCTCAGGAATACAAGTTGTTTGCTTAGTACATAGTGGAGCTATGATTCAGCTAATCATAGATTAGTATGGTATGCAAGCATAATCTTATTCTAGCTGCTTCCTGTGATCTAATTATTTATATTGTATTTTTGGCTGCTAACCATCTTGAGTAGCCTATGGATAGAAAGGCAGTGTATATACTAAAATAATAAGTAACATACCTGGAAGCAATATAGACTAGAGGCTAGTAGGCTTCCTGGCAGGTGAGGTTTGCTGGATCTAAGACCTACAGCAGATTGCAAAGGCTTTTAATACTGTTATCTTGTTAAAGCTTGCTCAGGCTTGTTGCACAAACCTGCTGGAGTCCTTACTACCCTGTCTTAATAAGTTTCTCCCTTGTCCATGGTAAATCATTGGCTCTTTGAAGTGACAGTTCAATGGGAAAGCCATCCAAAGGACTGCAGTAGGGCTGGGCAACCTGCCATCCGAAATGTGTGGTCCCCATGGAGACAGTATCATGTACATTATTTTTGTACAGACTGGTGTGCGTGAAGAGGAACGTTAATGCCTCTCTGCATCTTGATGGCTTCTGAGTTCCAGTAAAAGGATCTGGATCTGGACAAGTGACTCTTTAAGGACTAGTTCAAACTAAAGAGTCCCCTTTCAACAGGCTTCCCTGGAATCATTTATATTACCTCAAAGTTTGTCTTCTGATTTTGAAGCAGTATTTTCGTAGCTGTAGAAAGTTGATGAGCCAAACCAGATTTAATGTGCACATGTCCTTATATAGGCATTCTCTTAACTGTTAGTTTACTTTAAAAAAAAAAAGCAAAATATGGCCACAAGTTTGTGAAATGTATCCTTTGTTTAAGTGGATTTTCCAGTTTTATAAACTAGAAGGGATGTATTTTGATAGTGCAGCTTTAACTACTCAGTAAGTTTTATTGGTAATATTCTTTTCAGATTAACCCAATTAGTTTATGAGCTTAATAGATTCTTTTAAAATGATCAATATATTTGTATAAGATTTGTAACAAAAGTCAAAATGCCAAAAGCTTAGAAAAAATAGTGGAAATTATCCAAAGAATACTTTGTAGAAATTTTGGGGCTGCAGTTTCCAATTTTACCAATCAATTCCGGGTAATGCTTGAAGTTGCAGGAGGCTTAAAGTATGGAGATGTCAGGCATGATTCCAATTAAAAATTTATTGCTCATGCCTATGCACTGGAATCCACTCAACTAATGGTTTGTACTGTTTTGGTACTAGATAAGGTAAACAAAATTAAAGAGGAATTGGACATTGTCCATTTGTGGGTATGTAGAGATTCTAGTCTGATTTCTCTTTTGACTCTGCCTCCAGGTTCTGTCACTCCTCCTACAGGATGGATTGAAACTACATTCCAAGGTTTATCTATGATGTGGTCACTCCTTTGTTTTCAGTACCAGAACTTGCTTAGAAGCTTGTTATTTATGTACAGCTACAATTTACTGAAGATTGATGAAAAACATTTTCTGGCAAAATTTTTAGAAACATCATTTTATATATTTCTTATATTTTCAAATATTAACCGAGGATATGATTATTGGAATGCCACTGCCTTACCTTAATGTTGCTTTCTGAATTGTCCTGAGTTGTTAAATAGTCTTCCTTACTGCTTGTTAACAGAGTTTATCCATTCCAGACTGCCTTTTCTTGCAGTTTTTAAATCCAGTTTCAAGCCCTCCATCTGGTTGTCAAAACATTTTTATGCTGATTGTTCTGCATTTTCACAATCACCTTTCTATTCACTCAAATATTAACTTTTTATTCCGGTTCATCCTAATTCTACTAATTTTAAACACCTGTCTTTCTGGCCCCATATAACCCACTCCTCCCTCCTTAACAATTTACTGCCTTGAATATATCCCCACTTAGCCACCAGTTTCCTAATCTGTTTAGCTGAAACTCATTTCTGCATTTCTCTGCTGAAAGCGTTATTTTATTTCTGACACACCTTTATTTGGCTACCTTTTGCATACCATATTTGGAGACCTTCTATCCTAGGAGAGAAAGATTCAAGAAATTATGTGTTTATTTTATAGTGAAACATTTTTGTTGCTATGTGACACAGGGTTTCTCCAAGTATATCATTTCCCTTTTAACTCTCTGCAGCCATTGTGTGTTTAGAGAAATGGTATATCAAGATCCTCTGATAAGAGCAGAGCAATTTCAATGTAGACGTTTCAGAACCAGTTTCCAGCTTTGTATATCACTGTAAGGGCTGGATTACACAATATGCTGAGCCAAAATGTGGTTTGATTGAATTTGATTTAGAATTTTCACAAACCCACCCTGTGTAGTTTGTAAGCAATGGTTTATGGCTTAGTAAAATGTATAGATCAATTGCAATTTATTCAATAAACAATGTTTAAATAAAGTCCAGTTTAACATTTGCAGATTTTATTCATGTGAAACTTTAAGAGAAGGGTACAACATAAAGACAAGGACAGTATCAAGATAAAAGGGTTAGAATCAAGAGCATGTGAAGTGTTAGTATCAGGAGTGAAATGCTCCTGGTTCGGACCGGCTCGGGCGAGTAGGTAGCGATGGCGGCGGGCAGTTCAGAGAACCGGTAGCAAAAATCCCTGCCCCCGCCCCCCATGCCCAGCTGAGCCGCGCAATCATCAGAGCCTTTTTTTTCTTTTAAATGGCTCTGACCTGCCAAGCTCTGACGATCCCAGCTGAGTTGCCTTCTAATCCAGAGTCATGTAAAAAAAAAAAAACTTTTTCTCTTTTAAATGGTTCTGCCTGCTAATCGGTAGCAAAAATCCCTCCCCTTCCCCCCCTCAGCTTGTTTACTTTAGCTCTGGTCCCAACGCCTTGCTGTAATCCCTGCAATTGATTGCATCAGCAAGCAACTGAATCTCCCTGCCTGCAATCAAGCAGGCAGGGAGTTGTGGACTTCAACTCCCAGAATTCCTCAGCCAGCAAAGCTGGCTGAGGAATTCTGGGAGTTGAAGTCTACAAGTCTTAAAGTTGCCAAGGTTGGAGACCCCTGTTCAATTGGGTAAGTTTTTTCCCCCTTTGGGAGCTTTAAAAAAAATAGTTAATTGGGGTTTTTTTTAGTTATTCTTTTTTTAGACCTAGCCATTTAAAGTTTAGGAAGTTTTAAATTTAGCTGCTTTTATATAAAAATAAAAATAAATAAAAATAAAATAATATTTGTGCAGCTTTCTGAGATTTAGTGTGTTTCTGTAGTGTTTCACTCTAACTACACAATCACACAAAATCTCACAAAGCTGTATGTGGAATTTTGTGTGTGTAAAGTGTGAAAGTTGGTTTTTTGGGCTTTTTGTGGCTGTGTGAGGTTCCTGCTTGTTTCAGGAGCCATTTTGGGTCTAGCACAGCTGCTTTTATATTGTGGGTGAGCCAGTTGTGTTGTGTTGTGTTTTGTAGGTTAAAAAAGGGCAAAGAAGTGACATTGACTTGGCCACACACACCTGACCAACAAGCCACGCCCTCCCAGTCACCTTACCACCAAGCCCCGCCCACTAATTAAGCCACACCCACAGAACTGGTAGCAAAAAATTTTAGATTTCACCCCTGATTAGTATCACTTTATAATGCCTAGGTATGATCACACTAGGAGTATTGCAATTTTGGTCATTACAATATAAAAAAGACATTGAGATTCTAAAATGAGTGCAGAGAAGAGCAACAAAGATGATTAGTGGACTGGAGGCTAAATTATACGAAGAGTGGTTGCAGGGAATGGATATGTCTAATTTAATGAAAAGATGGACTGGGGTGATATGATAGCAGTGTTCCATCACTGTTCCAATATCTAAAGGGCTGCCATGAAGAAGAGGGAGATAACCAACCCTATTTCCCCGAAAATAAGACATCCCCTGATAATAAGCCCAATTGGGCTTTTGAGCGCATGCGCTAAAATAAGCCTCTCCCCGAAAATAAGCCCTCCCCGAAAATATTTAAACATAGAGCTGGAAATCAGGTAAGACGGCAAGAGGAGCCCCATCTTGCTCCACACGTCCCAAAATAACAAGACCTCCCCGAAAATAAGGCCAAGTGCTTATTTTGGGGTACAAACAAATATAAGACAGGGTCTTATTTTTGGGGAAACACGGTATTTTGCAAAGCACCTGAAGGCAGCACAAAAAGCAATGGATGGAAGCTAACCAAGGAGAGAACCAGCCCAGAAATAAGGAGAAATTTCCTGCCCTCAGTGACTCAATTTGCCTTCAGAAGTTGTGGGTGCTCCATCAGTGGATGTTTTTAAGAAGATATTGGACAGCCATTTGTCTGGAATGGGATAGGGTCTCCTGCTTGAACAGGGATTTAGACTAGAAAACCTCCAAGGTACCGTCAAACTCTTATTCTGGTAGCAATAGGCCAAGGAAGAGTTTGGTATTTTGTTTCCGCAACAGTTCTTTTTTCTAAGTTGAACAGATCTGGAAACAAATATGACAGCATAGTTTTCATTAAGGAATGAAACATCAAGATTTCACTACAAATGTTTGCAACTGACATATAGTTCAACATGTATGTATTCAAAATACAAGGCTAACTCCGTGATTACTGCTTGCTGCTTACTACATAACGTATTCCAGTAGTATCTTTGGTTGCTACCCTCTTTTAGCAGAGACAGTTTTCAGCCATTATTGTACTAGACAGGTACGCTGACAGTGATTTGATATTTCAAAATGTTTCCTGGATATTTCTTTTTAGATAAAAGAAATGCAAGGATGGCAGGGTGTGTGCATCTAACTATGATCATGTAATTCTTTCCAATTAATCTGAACTGATTTCTTCACAAACATAAGAAACTCATTTTGACAGGTGTTAGCATTTAATTACCAGGTACAGTTGTATTTATTGAATTGCATTGTACAGCTTGCTCTTGGGAAAAATTGTCTTTTAATTGGGATTTGATTAGCCAACAGAATCAACTAAAGGCAAGTAAAATGTGAAGTTTAATTAAGGAGTTGTCAGTAACAGGAGAGCTTGCTCAGTCTTATATTTTTTCAAATACAAAGCCAGTGCATGACAGGTCTTTAGCTAACCAAGGAGAGGGTTAGATTACAAAGAAGCAAAGAACTGTAATAATATAGTCTCATATGACTTTCATCTGGCTGTTGGCTAAATTCCACCAGATCGGCTTACTTTCATAGTTGGAATAAGCCAAGGCATTTTCCAGTGAGCAGAGATTAAGTGAAACAACCTACTGGAAATTCATACAATTATCAGAGGTAGTTTCATAAGATGGTGTTTTATTCTGCACAGTACACTGAAGTGAGCAGCAAACTGGAAATGAGGTGAGCAATGTTGTTTAACAAGGATATTTATTCACGATCCTACTAGTTGTAATTTTTATAAGGAGAAAAGAACTCAAGAACAGACCTGCTGCAATAAATCCCTAGCCCCGTGATGGCGAACCTATGGCACGCATGCCACAGGTGGCACGCGGAGCCATATCTATGGGCACGCAAGTGTTGCCCTAGCTCAGTTCCAACATACATGCGCGCGCTGGCCAGCTGATTTTCGGGTCTCCCGGTCCCACCAGAAGTGGGGAAACGGGCCGTTTCCGGCCTCTGGAGGGCCTCTGGGGTGTGGGGAAGGCCGTTTTTGCCAATACAAACCTTCCAAGTGTGTTAACTTCAATTCCCACAATCCCTAACTAGCATTGCCAAAAGCTATTGTGTAGATTGAAGTCCAATATACTTAGAAGACACAAATCAACCCTTGGAGATTTCTCAAACGTAATCATGCCGTTTCCTTGGCAGTGAAATGGAATTGGTTTGTCACTACTTTTTTCAAGATTATTTAAAACTTCCCAATTTAAGTTACAACCCAGGGATTCATGGCTATCTCTCATCCGAGTACCAGTCAGACTCTTCCAGATCAGTCAGCGTTAGTTGGAAATCATCATGGAAAGCTGTCTACCAAAATATCTCCTCTGGATGATAAACACCTTCATCATGTTCCTTTATTCTAAACACTTGCTTTCTCATAATAGTTCTTCTTCCACATTTCTGCATTTGTCGGGCTACCACAGAGTAAAGGGATGAATGAGGTTGTTGCATTTGGAGTCATTCCCAAATTGGCATATTATCATTCCCAAAATTGATCTGCACGAACATGACCTAACTTGCACATAGATGTATAATGTGCCCTTTGATGTTGAAGAAGATACTTGAGAATATTGTGAACAGCCATGTAAACAAACCAGTGGCACCCAGAACTCTTACTTGAGGTACAGGCTTAAATTATCCTACTTTGCACACATGCCCTAGTTTTGGAACATTGGAAAATGTTCGAATGGTGGAAAAGTTGGAAAGAAAGAGAAGAGGAGGATGACATGGAGCAAGCACAGTTACAATGGCAGTGAGTGCACTTTTGAAAGAGCTGAAGGCCCAGATCATCATCTATGTCAGGGGTATCATACTCATGATCCGTGGGCTGGATGTGTCATGTGCTGGCCACGCCCACACCCGGTTTAGCCAAGGGGAAAAAAGTTGTTATACGTCACGTGACCACATAATGACGTGACGTGAGTTTGACACTCATGATCTATGTGGTTGCTAGGAGTCAACATTGTCTTGATGGCATCTAATCTAATCACAATATGAAATTCCTTAGCAGGAATTCCATCCCATTCCATGTACAGAGAAGTATTGTTTTAATTTTATTAAAAGAATAGTTGGCAGTTAGATGACATCTCAGTTCCAAGCATGAGCTTTTTCCAAACATTGAGCTGGCTGGAAGCACAAAACCCACACATGCAATTTCCCCAAGTAAGGAGAAAAGCCTGTTTGTTTTCTTTACAACAATCCAGACCCCTGGCTGGATGATTTCTCTCTTGGGGCTCCCGGTTTCTGCAAAAGCCTTTTCCTTCTATATTTTTGTGGTCCCTCCCACAACAGCTGGATATTAGGGCCTTGGCAGCTGCCTGTTGCTTAGCAACCAAAGTCTTGCTTTCGACTTCTTTGGCCTTTCTCTGCATTCCTGCCTTGCCGCTGAGGCTCCAGGCAGCCGTGTCGTTTCTCAGTATCACCGCGATTGCAAGCAATAAGCCAAGGAAACTCGGGCAAAGCCCCTCTGTTTGGTTGCCCTTCCCTGCCAGGGCCGACTTATGGCCGCTGCCTCTGGCTCGGTTCTCCTGCTGGGGGATCCATCTGCTTTTGCTGCCGCCCTCAAGACTCTCATCAACAACCCCCAGTTCAGGTAAGCGTGCCAGCCAATCTGCCTGCCTGCTGTGGGAATCAGCCCGAAGAACGGGCCGGGACGATCACATGACTGGGAAGGCAGTCAAGCCCATTCCACGAGGCTTGCTGGAAAAGTTCACTACAGTATCACAAAGAAACAAGAGACGGATTTTGTGTGATTTTAAATCGTTTCCCTGAACTTCGCACGCTCGGTAAATGTGCTCGGTCCTTTGAATTTCCCCAGATCGCAACTACGTGTCTGATTTGACAGAGAGTTTCTTTCCGGCCTGTGTGGCTTCAGTTTATAAAAAAAAAAATTTGGGTTTGCAGTAAAAATGCATACAAAGGCGTTGTGGTCTTCTTTTCTTTGGGCCCTGCTTTGATGAAAGCCTTTAGCTTTCATCAAAGATTTTACTAAAAAATAAACGACTGTTTGCAAGAAATGGAAGCCCTCCTTTCAAACGAGCCTTGATTCTGTAATCTTTCTAGTTGTAAGAATGGAAGGGAAAGAGTGAGTCGCATGACTGTTTTGAAAGAGTTGTCCTGTATAGTTAGATAGATGCAGAAAGATTTGGATCATCTGTTTTGAAGACTATTGTGAGAAATGACAACGAAAGTCTCTCTTTACAGGTATGCATTGTGAATTTTTTTATTTTTTATTTATTACATTTATATGCCATACATCTTATCTTGCCCAGAGGTGACTCTTAAGTGGTTTACAACAGAGTAAAAGCAACAAGGTAAAACATTAAAATATTAGGATCATAAATATTCACATTAAAATTAACAAAGATAGCAAGGATGGGAGCAAGATATAAGCGGGATGAAGGCGGAAACTTCTGTAGTCCAGTAACCACTTCAGTATGTCACGCTCCCATGGGGGGGGGGAGGGCAGGCCAATTGCCAGAGCCAGATTTTTAAGGCCCCTACGGAAGTCCAGGAGGTGCAGATCTTACCTAAAGGGGCGCAGTGTTCCAGACGGCAGGAGCCATAGAAGAAAAGGCTCTTTTCCTGACCCACCAGGTGGAATTCCTTGACTGATGGGGGATCTGCAGCGTGTCCCTTCTGCCAGCATGGGTCAGGCAAGCCCATCCCATTGGAGTGAAATGGTTCCTCAAGTAACCCAGACCTGTACAATAAAGGGTTTTTTAGTAATAACCAGCAGCTTGAATTGGACCCCAAAGCAACGGGCAACCAGTGCAGCTCATGCAACAATGGCATTACATGGGCCACGCTAGTGGCCCCTAAAACAGTCCACAGAGTTGCCTTCTGCGCCAGCATTAGCTTCTGAATCCTCTTCAAAGGTAGCCCCATGTAGAAGGTGTTGCAGTAGTCCAGAAGTGGAAATGCAGCATGAATGATTCGATCAGTGGTGAAATCCAAATTTTTTTTTACTACCAGTTCTGTGGGCGTGGCTTGGTGGGCATGGTGTGGCTTGGTGGGCGTGGCAGGGGAAGGATACTGCAAAATCTCCATTCCCTTCCCACTCCAGGGGAAGGATACTGCAAAATCCCCATTCTCTCCCCACTCCTGGGGGAAGGATATTGCAAAATCTCCATTCCCACCCCTCTCTGGGGCCAGCCAGAGGTGGTATTTGCCGGTTCTCCGAACTAGTCAAAATTTCCACTACCGGTTCTCCAAACTGCTCAAAATTTCTGCTACCAGTTCCTCTGTCAGAACCTGTTGGATTTCACCACTGGATTCGATGCACAGTTACATGAATTTATTGTGCATTGACAACCTAAAATATGAGAATTAGCTCTCAAGTATTGTTGTTACTACTTTGTCCTAGATAATTATTTCAAGTCAATTTAACCACGGTGTGTTAAATTTGTAAACCCCTCTTATAATCTATTCACTGCACTTGTTCTTGAGAGGAAAGAAAATGTCTATAACCACAAATGTTTGTGCGAAAAGGGTAAGTGGCAAAATGTGCCTTCTAATGTGACAAACTGTTGGTTTCTTAGGTACTTGAGGTAAAATATAAAAGGGTGACATTTTGATGATGCACATGTTGTCATTTTGATGTAATTGCCATTGGAAACAGACACCTATAATTATAGTATCAAGATTTGACAAAACCAGCCAATACATTTTTCTTAAACGGGAATTTGAATTACAATGTTAGTATCCACAGATCATTTATATGCCTTACTCTTAAGTAGCAGGCTTTTTCAGCAATCAGGGTGAACAAGTCGGCCATTTAGAATAGAGAAAATACACAATATTGTATACTATAAACCTAGCTACTATGGTTGTAGTTTATTTAATAATTCATGATGAAGCAAATCATGTAGAGTATTTATTGTGCTTAGTGGTGAAATCCAATTTTTTTTACTACCGGTTCTGTGGGCGTGGCTTGATGGGCATGGTGTGGCTTGGTGGGCGTGGCTTGGTGGGCATGGCAGGGGAAGGATACTGTAAAATCTCCATTCCCAGCCCACTCTAGGGGAAGGATATTGCAAAATCTCCATTCCCATCCCACTCTGGGGCCAGCCAGAGGTGGTATTTGCCAGTTCTCCGAATTACTCAAAATTTCCGCTACCGGTTCTCCGAACTGCTCAAAATTTCCACTACCAGTTTTCCAGAACCTGCTAGATTTCACCCCTGTGCTTAGTATACTGTAACATATTTTAATCTTGACTATGCCAGAATGTGATTTGATTTTGAGTGATCTTGAGATAGGGGATATAGTCACCGAGTCCTTGTCATGGTCAGATCACTCTCTCCTTCGTCTCGACCTTCGAACTGCTGCACCCCGCCGCAGGGAGCCGAAGCCGGTAAGATGGTTCCGCCCCAGGCGCCTGATGGAACCTGATAGGTTCCAGATGGAGCTTGGGCCATTTCCTGAGGCTCTGGCACACGCCTCGACTGGAGACCTAGTGGCCGCCTGGGATAGGGCAGCTGCTGGAGCTCTGGATCGGGTTGTGCCTTTGCGGCCTCTGACCCGGCGCCGATCTCAATTGGCTCCTTGGTTCTCCGAGGAGCTGAGGGAGTTGAAGCACCGGAAAAGACGCCTAGAGAGTAATTGGAGGGCCAGTCTTTCTGAATCTGACCGGACACTAGTAAGATCCCATATTAGGAATTACCTAGTGGCGATAAAAGCAGCGAAATGTAGTTATTTTGCTGCTCATATTGCATCATCAGATAACTGCCCGGCTGCCCTCTTTAGGGTGACCCGCTCCCTGCTCCACCAGGAAGTGCGGGAGGACCCCTTGGAGGGTAGAGCCGACGATTTTGCTCAGTATCTGTATGACAAAATCACTCAGATTCGGGACGATCTGGACACTGACTGGGTAGTCTCAGGGGGAGGGACTGGGGCAGGTCTTGAGAATGTTATCTGGGATAAGTTTGATCCTGTGACCCCTGAGGACGTGGACAGGATTCTGGGCAGACTGAACGCGACCACTTGTTTATTGGACCCGTGTCCTTCTTGGTTAGTGCTGGCTTCCCGGGAAGTGACACGAGGCTGGCTCCAGGGGATTATAAATGCTTCGTTGGGTGAGGGTGACTTTCCTGCCGCCTTGAAAGAGGCGGTGGTGAGGCCACTCCTCAAGAAGCCTTCCCTGGACCCGGCAATGTTGGTAAACTATCGTCCGGTCTCCAACCTTCGCTTTGTGGCGAAGGTTGTTGAGAGTGTGGTTGCACAACAGCTCCCCCAGCACCTGGATGAAACGACGTATCTGGATCCGTTCCAGTCGGGCTTCAGGCCCGGGTACAGCACGGAAACGGCATTGGTCGCGTTGGTAGATGATCTCTGGAGGGCTAGGGACGGGGTGCTCCTGTGTCCTGATCCTGTTAGATCTCTCAGCGGCTTTTGATACCATCGACCATGGTATCATGCTGCACCGGTTGGAAGAGTTAGGGGTGGGAGGCACTGTGTTGCAGTGGTTCTCCTCCTTTCTCTCTGACCGGTCGCAGTCTGTGTTGATGGGGGCAGAGGTCGACCCCGAGGCCCCTCATATGTGGGGTGCCGCAAGGGTCGGTCCTCTCGCCCCTCCTGTTCAACATTTATGTGAAGCCGCTGGGCGAGATCATCCGTGGTTTCGGGGTGAAGTACCACCAGTACGCTGACGACAACCAGCTGTACATCTCCACCCCAGACCACCCCAACGATGCCCTTGAAGTGATGTCCCGGTGCCTGGAGGCCGTGCGGATCTGGATGGGGAGGAATAGGCTCAGGCTCAACCCATCCAAGACCGAATGGCTGTGGTTTCCGACGTCCCGATATAGTCAGTTGGTGCCATCACTGACTATTGGGGGCAAATTATTGGCCCCCACGGAGAGGACGCGCAACTTGGGCGTCCTCCTGGATTCACGGCTGTCTTTAGAAGAGCACTTGACGGCCGTGACCAGGAAGATTTTTCATCAGGTTCGCCTGATTCGCCAGTTGCGTCCCTTTCTGGATCGGGACTCCTTACGCACGGTCACTCATGCCCTCGTCACCTCCTGCCTGGACTATTGTAACGCTCTCTACATGGGGCTCCCCTTGAGGAGCATCCGGAGGCTCCAACTGGCGCAGAGTGCGGCCGCGCGGGTGGTAATGGGAACGACATGGCGCTCCCATGTAACACCCCTCCTGCGCGAGCTGCACTGGCTCCCACTGGTCTTCCGGGTGCGCTTCAAGGTTTTAGTTACCACTTTTAAAGCGCTCCATGGCTCAGGACCTGGGTACTTGCGGGACCGCCTACTACCACCAATAGCCTCCCACCGGCCGATACGCTTTCATAGAGAGGTCTCCTCCAGGTGCCGTCAGCCAAACAATGTCGACTGGCGGCCCCCAGGGGGAGAGCCTTCTCTGTGGGGGCACCTACTATCTGGAACGAGCTCCCCCCGGAGACACGGAGGATCCCAGATCTGCGGACCTCCCGCTGCGCTCTAAAGACCTTTTTATTTCACCAGGCGGGCCTGGCCTAACTTTCTCCCTCTTTTTAAACAATTTTAATATTTTAATATTTTTAATATCTTTTAATCTTCAAAGTTTAAATCTGTTTTAAATTGATTTGGGTTTTAATCTGTCTGGGCCAAATTATTTAATTCGATTTTATCTCTGTTTTTAAATTTTGTATGTATGTATTTTATTGTTGGCTGTTCACCACCCTGAGTCCTTCGGGAGTAGGGCGGTATACAAATCAAATAAAAGTAAAGCAAAGTAAAGATACAAAATTCAAAGGGAAAAATAAATGATATATTATGGACCCAAAATCATTGACCCAAAATCTTTTGTGATTATTTTGTAATATATTGCATATTGGTAATATCATTGTGTGATTAATGTTATCAACCCTAATTTGTTAGATGTGGAATTAAAGTCATATCATAACAACAGCCTAGACAGCCAATTGTCTCTATAAGCTAAGAGGCTTATAACTAGACCTAGATTTGAGTTAAAAGTTAAGTAGCTGAACTTCCTGTTTCTCTCTTTCACAGTGTATACAACAGGATCAGCCATGCACGCTGTACAATCCAACAGAAGAATGAATCACCAGTCTGTGGCAAAATCAAACGCCAAAACTGTGACCTAGTAAAAGTTTTAAGAAGGCAGTTGTTTTCAAGATATTCAATCTATTTAAAGCATTCAAGAGAATGATGATTAATATTGATGAGAACCAACTGCTAATGCTAGAACATATATTGAATGTTCCCTTCCACATTTTCCATATCGAAAGTATTTTGTCTTGCTTTTTTGAGCTATCGTGATCCATGTTTTCTAACTATATTCCAAATGGTGCTGCTGATGCAATGCTCAGATTGCACTGTCTGCTCTTCAGTTATCAATTATCCTCTATATGAGGATATTTAATATTGTTTGTGTTATATGTTATCTAATCTGGTGATATAGCTTTCATTGACTATGTAACACAAACAATCCAAGTTGCCTTTCCCAGGGAAAGCTGGCATAGAATACAAGGCTCATTTCTATAAACCACAAATATTTATTAAGAAATCATATTATAGCTAACTTTGTTGAAAAGAAACTGCATTTTCTAACATGCTGAGTTGCAATATATTAGCAGTGAGAAAATGCATACTCATTGTGAACAACAATGCTGAATGGAGTATAGCTCTGTGAGTATCACACGTAGTAGATAGTGTCTGTGACTTCATAAATTACAGTACAATATAGGTGCCATATGTCAAATAAATTAATGAATAGAATAGAATAGAATTTTTATTGGCCAAGTGTGATTGGACACACAAGGAATTTATCTTGGTGCATATGCTCTCAATGTACATAAAAGAAAAGATACGTTCATCAAGAATCATAAGGTACAACACTTAATGATAGCCATAGGGTCCAAATAAGCAATCAGGAAACAATATCAATATCAATATCAATATAAAGTGCAATATAGTAATAACTAGTAAACTTGTTTGAATGTTAGATGTTTCCAACAATGTAAACTAATACATATTAGCAAGGCTACTTGCTCTCTCTCCTTTATTATTTTTAATATATATGTTTGGGTTCTGCATCCTCAAAAGGAAAGTACATCCCCCCCCATTTTAAATTGAAAAATAAACTTGTTCAGTCTTGCTCCCTATAGAAAGCTTGTCCAATTTTAATATGTGTGAAATTGGGTAAATGAAGACTCCAATAAAATGTAGATAACTCTTGGCTGATTTACATTATTCTACAATAGCTATTGATCTGGTGCAGCTAGGAATTAAGATAATTGTCTTGATTGAGTGATGTTTCATTTCCTAGAAAAATTAAAAACACTCCATTTTTTGGCCTCCAAAAGTGAGAAAGTCATTAGATAATGAAATATAAAGTGAATGCCAAATAAGTTACCGAAGATACTCCTGTAGTTACCTTTACAGAGTGCTTTGTCACTACATAATCTGGTAGGAATATCAGATTACATGTTCTTTATAATCTGGTGCAACAGATCATTTGAATTTAATGATCTTGAAATATATAACTGCCTGATCTGCAACTGCTTGGAAAGCAGAAGTCAGTACATGAGGCTCTACTTATTAAATTAGTGAGGTTATTGCCTTGTTTTTATTTTGTCTGCTTGCAGTGTGTTCTGACCTTGTTATATACATCCATTCCCACATGCTAATTTATTCATCATTGGGTATTCTCTTACTACTTTTTGTTGAAGGCAATATGACTAGTCCAATAAATTTGTTATCTGATGGAGAATAGGAAATGTGTTTCTTCTCAAGTTGGTCTCTAAATTTGAGTATAATATGATCATTTTTTCAAAGATGTCATCTTCAATTTTAACCAATTCCTCTTTGCTGGTAAGGATTAGGTTGAGAATACTAGATCCTCATGTTCTTTCATCTACCTCCTGACAAATGAAGTTGTCAATAATAGGAAAGAAAAATTTCTTGGAACTTTGACTCTTGGCAGAGATAGATTCCCAGAAGATATAAAAAAAATTAGAATCCTCATTATCACTGATGCATGTCTCTTTGAAAGTGAGGCATTTTATTTGTGTCTTTTGACTGTCCAGGCAGTGAATAATAAACTCCCACTATCACTTTTGTTTTTTTCTCACCTTTTACTTTTTCAATAAATCCACACTTTCAGCAAGGTGTTATATACTCTGATTTTTTTATTTCTGATTTTTTTCCCTTATATTCAGTAAACACTCCATTCCTTCTGTTGCACTTCTCCTTTTGAGTAAATTCTACCCTTCCAGTACTATATATCAATCATGAGTATCATCCCATCAAGTTTTAATTATATCTGTCACATCATATTTATCTACCTGAGAGAAGGTAAATTGTCTATTTCTCCCTGTTTATGCTCATGCTTTGCTGTTGAATTGTTTATGATCCTGTCAAATTCTGAGTCCCTGTTCTGACCTTCTGTTTTTCCCATTGTATTCTGGTTTTTTGGTCCCAATCTTTGACTGGATATTCAGTTTTTAGCTTTGCCGCCCTCCATCTTTTATTCTAGTTTAGTGCCTTGATGAGAGTAATAAAGCATCTGGCAAACACTTTCTTCCCAGGTCCTATAATGCAAACGCTTCTTGCAACCCCATCTATGTAGCCAGCTATTGACTGCTATGATTCTGTTTTCTCTTCTTATACTTTTACCCCCAGCTGAAATAACTGATACAAAATTGCCTCTTTTATTTATTATTTAGATTTTTTAATCCAGTCTTTATTATTTTAACTCAAGACAGTGAACATATATAATACTCCTTCCTTGTCTGTTCCCCACAACAACTTTATGAGGTAAATTGGGCTGAGAGAGAGTGACTGCCCTGTCAGCCAACTGGCTTTCATACCTAAGACAGGACTAGAACTCACAAGCTCCTGGTTTCTACTATAGGCTAGCATTTTCACCATTACATCAAATTGGCTTTTCTCAGTTTACTATCTTTCTGTCCAAGGCATCATAGTTTCCAGAGATTCTCCTTATTCACTCTTCTACATATTTTCTGATTGGTCAAAAATCCCACAAAACTAATGGTTTATATCAAGTGTTGAAAAAAATGTTAAGCCATTTTTCTCCTTGAAAGTCCTGAAGACCAAGATATGGAAGGCATAGTCAGATGAATCCCTGCAAATGGAGAAACAGGTTAAAATTGCCATAAGCGTCATCATTAAAAAAAAGAGAAAGACCAAAGTGTTAGTTAATTACATAAAAGAACAAGACTCAGCAGTCAAACACTGTTGATGTTACAGGATCAGAGAAATCTAGAACTGCATTCAAATACATCCTTGTGTCAATGTGCTCTTAGTTAGTAGTTTAGCCCTTGGTTTGACTTGCTTTACCAAAGGTCATCTGAATTCTTCATGTTGGCTCTCAAAAGGAGGCATCTATAGAAAAATGAGAAGACAGCAGGCTAAGAAGCTAAGCCATCTATATGGGAAACTCTGCTAGTTATACTGAGATCTGTGTGGCCTCTCTTTCCACAGTGATGTAACTTTTCTGGTTGGCAAAGAGAAGCAGAAAGTCTTTGCCCATCGCTGTCTACTCTCCACCCGCTGCCAAGTTCTCCATGCAATGCTAAACCATGAGATTCAAGTCCCACTGATCCTGAATCGCATACAGCCAGAAGTGTTCCTTACAATCATTGAGTACCTGTACACCAATGGTGTAACTCTCAACAATCTTACTGTAAGTATATTACTGGCTGGGTTGGGCTTCCAGGGAAATGGATGGAGGAATAATTAAAATTAGTCAGCAGTACTAATTTTATTAGTACTGTATTTTTAATTTGTTTGTAAGATGAAATAGATGAATTTTGAAATCTTATCAGCTTTTTAGTGACATATAAAAACATTTGGGTTTTTTTCTCTTTTCCTGATTTTGATTAATTCTGCAGTTTGGAAATCTGTTCATACTATGTAGTCTTTTCTAATTACGAATTTGCTGTTTTTATAGTATTTTTTAAAAAATTCGGTAACCCACCTTCAGTATAGATTTTTCCAGTATGACAGTGAGGTGTGTAGTAAACAGATGGTAATGAAAAATTAATGTGAAGATGATAATTTTAAAAAGGCCATGGTGAATTAGTGGCCTAGAAAAAATCAGCTAGATATCCAAGTAAGTAACTGATCAATAAACTCTTTTAATCCACAGAATTGACAGCTAATACAGTTGCTCATGGCTCAATGCACTAAGATTCTTGAAGTGTCCAGATGGCACTTGTAATGTGCAACATGTATGATTCATTACCATATTTTCTTTGAACATGCAGAGAATCTTTTCTCATTTCAGTTATCAGCCAAGTTTTATATCTCTCTTATTTTTTTTTTCCTAATGGAAATTATACACTTACACTTCCCTGATTTGCCATACACATCTGCGTGCTCAGCATTTTTAGTTTTTACTCTTGCTTTTGCTTCTACATGGTTATATTTTTCAGCTCTAGACTTTCAAAATACAATTTTATCACCTCATATCTACTTATCTTTTCTCATTGGCTGTCCCTCCACCCCACCACCCCCCCCAAAAAAGAAAGAAAATTCTGTTATATGTATGGCAAGTAACACAATGTATCCGCAATTAGTGTTTTTTTTATTTAAAAAAAGTATACAAATGTGATGAAATAAAATAAAAATTAGGAGGAACAAGCTGTGTACAATCTGTATTGCAATTCCATAAACAACAACAACAACAAAACCTCCAATGACATAATGTGAATGAAGACTCAGTTCTGGAAGCAGCCTTTATGGTAGTTATATGTGAAAGATAGAAGCATTAGTGTTTGCATTGAATTTTATCCATATTCATATTAACAATTCTTAATATTTGAAGCAAATATTTTCCATGGAGTCTTGAATAGCAGAACCTTGAGTTCTAAAATCCTATCACCACTGCAGTATAGAGAAGCTGGTTGAAGATGGGAAGGAAGGATGTTTCTGCAGGAATGCTGGCTTAAGCAACTACTCTGAATAGCTTCCAGATAATAAGTCTTGTTGCTTAGCTTTTTGCTAATTTAACGTTGTTGGCAGCCACCCCAAAATCACTAGCACAGTTCTGATAAAAGAAAGCAGTAAAACGATTTTTTGAATAACGGGTTTCAAAACTACATTCAGTATATAAGACTGTCTTTTCCTTTACTAGCATGGAGGGAAAGTCTCTTGAATACAGAGACATTGTGATCTCAGTCAATCTGAAATTCCTTATTAAGATGGCATTTAATTAATAACGTTTAGTCTCTCCATTTGTACTGTGTAATTGCAGAAATACAACAACTTTATCTTTCCCACTATCAGTTGTGTCATCTGGGAAGCCCACTTTTATAGAGGACTTTTCTGCAATAGAAAATCCTTTTTGGATGAAGATGACCATCCATAGGGGCCATGGAATTGATGTTGAGTTTGGGGCAGATATTGTTTTTACATGTGTGGAGGATATAAAACCGATTCATTATCCTGGATCTCTCTCTTTGCTTTTGTTAACAGTGATTAGTTTCACTTATTGGAAACAAAAAGATACATTTTCCCGCATATGTGACAGAAGTAGTATCAAGATGATTATCTCAATGTATACCAATTCTCCTTACAGAGTTTTCTTTATCTCAGATTTCCTTCCCTTGGTTTTCAGTATCTACAAGAATCTTCAGAGTGAGTTGTCCAGAATTACAGAATGCAGTCATTAGTATGCATTTTTGAAATCACCAAGGCCCTAGAAATTCAAATATCCTTTCATAAATCAGAAAATAGAATGTATCATTAAATCTGCTTCATCTACCATTTTTTCTGTTTACTAGAGGAGCTGAATGAATATGCAAATTAAAATCTGCAGATGTTATCTTAAAATAGAGATGGGCAATTTGTGTCTCATTATATTTTGTTGAGTTACAGCTTCCATCAAGCCAGCATATTAATTGCTGAGGAATTATGAAAGTTTCAGGTTTCTTTCCCTTCCTTTAAAAAATGATCATACAGTTAGAAAGAATGCATAGTGGGCAGGGATAATGTCTTCCAACAATCCTAAAGGTATCAGTCTGAATATTGTGTTAACAATATACAACATTTCTGAGAAGATCAAAATAAACACTAAAAAAGGCTGAAAGCATGATGAAATCACATAGAAACGTTTCATACTCCTGGAAAGTGAGAAAATAAAAAAGTTTAGGTACATTTTTTTATCTTTGACAAGATAAAAGATGTGGCTTATTACAAAATATTTGCCTTATTCGTTTTATCTGCAGGCCCTTGAGGTTTTGACTTCATCCATTGAATATGGGTTAAATGACCTCAGAAAGGTAAGGATCTCACACTGCAGTTTATGAATAATGATTTAGGATTTTATGATTATGGAAGTATGTGCTAATGTAGTTAGTGGTATATATTGCAAGCAGTAGATACTGGCTTATTTTATTCAAAGACTGCAAGTTTTATATCCTTATATTATTTTAGACACTTTGCTATTCTAGATTGGACTACAGATCATTTAACCCAAATTCCTGAGATCCCTGCCCATATAGTAATAAAGTAATAAAATGGTAAGACTTTCTACTATTCCTCACTATAAAAGAGAAACCCTGTCAATATAGCAGAGGTGGGATTCACTTACCTTCCCTACCTGTTCGCAAATGTGAGTGCACGTGCCACCTCTGCGCATGTGCAGTAGTTGTGCATTACATCCGAGTGGGTGGGCAGAGCCTCCCACAGTCGCCACTACCAGTTTGCGCGATCCGGAGAGAACTGGCTGAATCCTACCACTGCAGTACAGTATTGATATTGGCAGGACAGAACTACATATTGATTCAGTTCATAATCAAAACGTTCTGTCCTGCTACTTTTCTCCCTTAGTTTGTCTGTTATCAAGGTGTGTTATCCTGCTATCTTCTTGAAAGCCTAAGAAAATATTAAGTAAATTTCTATAGTTTTGTAAGTGAATGGCAGAAAGAAAATAATTATAGCAGTTACTAGCAGTAGGAAAACAAGCTGATTTAATTAAATTAAGAGCTTTTTCCCACTTGAACCCAATTGTGGCAAAAACCTGTCATGGGAACATTTTTGTTTTATCTCCTGATTGAGTTTTATCAGCTCAGATTTGGTACTGGTAGGAACAGTTCTGTCCCCTTTCATCTTTTATGCCCAGAGCATTGAGTGGAGCAATCTTAAGTTATCTTTAGCACAATGGGTGGGTCCCATATTCTAGCACCTTCCGAGGGTACTCTCAAGTCATTCAAAGACAGGTTTTGTCACTTGTTATCTCAAGGAGGACAGATGATCGCAGTGACTTGAAAGAGAGGCAATCTAAGCCAGACATGGCAGTGGGAATTTCCCGCTGTTATCCTTTTCTGCCAGCTAAAGGATAGGGGGATATCACTTCTACTCAATATTGGAAGAAATGTCCATCTGGATTCAGTTCCAAGTGGGGAGAAAGACACTGCAAACATGGAGGCTGTTTGGAAAGATGGTTTAATAATGGACAGGACCATGTGGTTTGAGGTCCTGGGCAATTGAGCACATGGAGAGAGAGGAGAGGGACAAGGACGGGGGGGGGGAGAGAGAGAGAGAGAGAGAAAGAGAAAGAGAGAGAGACCCTCTCTTGGGCTTTGAACGTGCTTCCTGTTCCTGTGGCAAGGACATATATTCTGATTGGTTGTCAGACTCCCAGGGGGCCATGCAGGGTTAACTTTATAGGTTGTCTTGAGTCCCAGGCTTGGTTGAACCTTACTGGGTGATGCAATCTTCCCAGGTGCCATGTGGTGAGATGGGTAGAGGACTAATCCCATTATGTCCTGAGGGTGAAGGTCTTTTGTTTTGTAGATAAACTGGCCCAGCCTTTTGTCTTGTAGATAGGTTGGCACCAAAATATCTGCTGGGGGAGCAGGGAGCTGAGGCTCTGAGTTATGTCTTTAGAAACATTTTCTCCTTTAGGGAAAATATAACATTCTGCCTTTTTAATATTTCCTAGAATATTTCATTCTTCTAGGAGAAGGGTGGGTGCTAACTTTCTACATCAGCATGGGGAAAGGCCTCTTATTAAGTGGTAGCCAAGTAAGGACTGCATTTAGAGGTAAAAAATTGTCATATATATGGTCTATTAAGCAGAAATGTCAGATCTAATGATGGAGTTTAAGATGGGCCTTCATTATATGTTGATTTTTCATTAATTGGAATTTACATACCATTTGTCAAAACTCAGTACCTCTGAGTTAATTATTTAAAGTTTTGTGTATTGAAAATCTATTGCTTTTGTCACTGATATCAAGGAACCTGGGGAATTGCTGTGGGAACAGCATTAGGAAATTCCTATAATCTAATGAAAATTAGAAATTCTACTTTGGAAACTGATAATCCTCTATATTATGTGCACACACACAAATTAACTGTTGGTGACTTGGAGGAAGCAGCACATATTGGGTACTTTCAGATTTGCATCAGTTATATAAAACCAACAGCAACTGTCACATTGTTGATGGCACCACTGAGCTTTGGCACGGCAGGTGCTGTTTAACACAGGAACTGCTGACATTGTAGAACTCTGTTCTCATGACTTCATTAAATCTGTCCTATTTAGACAAATCTAATTTGGTTAATTCCTATTATATGAAGGCTTTGTGTCTCCATTTGGTTTGCTTCTATTTTGGACAAAAATCCATGTTCTCCCTCCAAATGTTTAGTTCTAGAGCTTCTTTTTTAAACCCTCAGCTGCATTTAGCCAGTTTCCTGACAACTTGACAATTGGCTTCTTTTCCTTTTCCTTTCTCCTTTTTCTTTCCCACGTTTACACAATTCCATTGATAACATTTATATTTACTGGAATTGTGATTATTTTGTTTGTACAAACTTATTGAATTATGCTTAGAGATGAAATGTAGCCCATGTGAGTTAGCCATCTCTTTGATCTTCCACTTCCGGCCTATTGGAATCCCCCTCCCCCCCATTAAATTAGCATCTAATATCAGAGGTTTAGACTTTCCTGGGAGTAATCTGAAGGAAGCTCTAAGTACTGGCCTTTTCTTAGAGACTGATCCATCTCCTTCATAACAGTTGTTATGGTTTGCTTTGAATATTTTACAGTGTTCTATATTTGGTTCTTTTCCATCCTAAGCATCATTTTCAGTAGACCAAACAAAGGTCAGTGGGGATACGGTTACACACATTGAGTGTTCTTGTTTCTCATTTTAACCACAGAAAAAGATACCCCCCCCCATATAGGGCAACTTCAGAAGAAAACAGTTATGCTGTATGTAATGATATTAGGCGGGATGCTACTGCACAGCAGGGATGGGAGTTTTTTGGTTTTTTGCCAAATCATACGTGGGCTGAGTATTCACACATAGTATCAATTTTAATCTGTTGGTGTTCACTCATTGGGTGTTGTACAGTGGAATAATGCTTGTTCTCATATGCCTTGTTGACCCAATTGTCTAGTCAGGGGGGGGGAACCAGTCTTTCTTATATTAACCTCATCATGCTTTTTCTCATCTGGTGCCAGTTCTATGGAATCAGGTTCCATCAGTTCTATACCTTGAGCAGATTTTTAAAAGATACCGGTATTAAAAATGTTTCTTTCTTATGGGCCTTTGTTAATCTGCTTTAAGTATTACTTTTATGCAGCAAGATATTAAGCATTTAATCTTGTTTTTATGGGTTTTATAAATCATATGGACCATTTAGATTACTGAGGCTGTTTAATTGTGATTTTAAATTGGATGGTAGTGAGATTGTGCCTTTTTGATACTGTGTTTTACTGTTTTGTTCTGCTAAAGGGAACAAAGTAGATGCATCTGTATAACTAGAGTTATAGATGCATTTTTATGAAAAGTGAACATATACTGGCAATATAACTACTACTGCAGGAGGGAAAAAAGAAACCATATTAATTCATGCCCTCATTTGCAAAAACCTGGAGAAAATTACAGTATTTTTCGGTGTATAAGACATGCTTTCCCCTTCCCAAAAAGTGGGTGGAAATGTCTGTGCGTCTTATAGAGCGAATGTTGCCAAAGCCCCGCCCACCGCTGGCCCCCATCCTTTGGCCTTTGCCTCCTTGCAACAAACAGCAAACGGCCTGGTCAGCTTCAGCACAGCCTGATTTAGTGCGAGCAGCTGATTGGTGGTTGGATCGGCCTTCCAGAATATTGCCTATCAGGTGTTCCAGGCTGCGGGAATTGCTGCCACCCATTGCCACTACCGCCTATCGCCGCCTCCACGCGCCCCATTTTCAGCCTCTGCGCATCCCATTTTCAGCATCTGTGCATCCCATTTTTGGCCCATTCCAGGCGATGGGGATAGATGGCGGCGGCGGTGATCCCTGCTGCCTGGAATGGGCCAAAAACGGGATGTGTGGAGGCCAAAAATGGGGCACACAGAGGCGGCAAAAGATGGCAGCGGCAGTCCCTGCAGCCTGGAACAGCTGATAGGTGGTATTCTGAAAGGCCGATCCAACCACCAATCAGCTGCTCGTGTTAAATCAGGCTGTGCTGAAGCTGACCAGGCTGTTTGCTGTTTGCTGCAAGGAGGCAAATTGCTGGGAGGCAGAGGCAGATTTTTTTTTCTTGTTTTCCTCCCCAAAAGCTAAGTGCGTCTTATAGTCCAGAGCGTCTTATAGTCCGAAAAATACAGTAATATCCCATTGGACTAAACAAACAACTCCAGATAATTATGGCATCCACTAGGAATATATAGTGCTATATTGAAGTACTAAAGCAACTATTAGGACATATAATTCAAGCTACCTGAAGACATTGGTGCTTCATTCTTTTTCCCTTGTCCAGTTCTGAGAGATAAGATGGAATTGTGCAATTTTATGTGCAGGTGAAAAAAATTAATTCCATTTGCAAGAACTCTGAGATAAGAGCCCAGTATTCCTTACCTGCTTTTCTCTATGCTTTCTGTTCCAGCTACTACATTAGTAGCTGGTAACTAGGATGCTTAAAATATGTCAGCTAATAAAGTGAACCTGCCAGTATACATGTTCAAGTGATTGTACAGTTATATTAACCATCCTCTTTTCAATAACTACCAGAAAGGAGAAAAAAAAACCTATTCTGGGAATAGGAATCCATGGTTTCTGAATGGCTTGGCATTGAATTGCAGAATATACACTGGAGTTACCCTTCTAGCTCAAATTAGTTACAGTATGTCCTATGTCAGTGTATTGTGCTTAGAGATGGCACTATGGAACTCTTGACTGTTAGCTCTCTTTTTATATACATAAAGGATATATTTCCCTTTTTTTACTTAAGATATATTACAGCAACATGTTACGTATATCTTAGTGTTAAAACTAACTCTCGTGGAG